GGGAAACATCAAATTCCAGTACGATGGTTGAGAGAGATACTATAAGAAAACTGATAACATAAAATGGAGCCTACAATTCGGTGCAAAAACTTAAGAGCTCTTATAATCGAATAACTCACAAGTAGGTCAAAGATACAAGGCTGGTGAACGTTGCTGGTATGGAACCAGTCAGCTTGTTACTAAGCAGTTGTATGCAGCTCGGAAATAGGGTGCAAAAAAGAAGGGAGTAATGGGCAGACAGGGGTTTGTGAGTACGAGCATACATCCTCCACTATCTATACTAAAGCAACAGCAACAGGCGGTGAGCTAAGAAGCTATGAGGCAGGCACTCAGTTCGTGCCACACGCACAGACTACCAGACGAATGCTTGGTGCTCAAAGCTGGACTAAGGCACTAAGGCCATACTCCGTGCTTAGCCGAGCATAACACTCAGTGTACGTCGGGCGGGATAAGGGCATGGTCTAGTGAACATTCAGATAGAACAACAAGGATGGAAGACACGAACAAAGTCCGAACGAACTATCAATATTGTTGGTGGGGCACTGGGATCGTCCCGAGTTGAGTGAGGGAGGGCTACAGGCGCGGCCTGGGGGGTTATGGGTGTGCTACCCACCATACAAACATGCCCTTCTAGCCCAGTCGGTAGCAGGTTGTGCCAACATATATTACATACATACGAGTCCAAAGGAACTGCATGTTCAGATCAGACTTATGTTGTGAGTCGGCTCAAAAGTCTGAACGAGCTTTTACTTGCATCATCTATAATAGATCGGAATCAAGCCCTTCAACAAGACCAGAGCCATTGCTGACGAGTAACCGAGTTACAACCATGCGTCTCATATGTCAACGAAACGAGGACAGCATTAACATATGATTAGAAACGAGGAACACGACTCGCACGTGTTAACCGAATGAGGAACAACGGCACCAACAAAATTCCAAGGCTACTAGACAAATGTTTTTTTTTGTTTTCTTGAGACGTTTCAGAACAAATCTGTCTTCATGTGTTAACCGAACGAGGAACAGCACTAACAATCTGTCAAGGCTCTTGAGATTGCCGAGGGATGCAGGGAGGCTGCCACTTAAGCTGTTGTAACCCAGTTGCCTGATAAACATATGAACACAGAGGGCATGCATGCAGAGAAAATGAACCGAGCATTACTCATGGGTCGACCCGACCTGACCCTCATTTTACTCATGGGACATCGGCTCAAGATCAGCCAGCCGGCATGAGTGGGTGCATACAGAAAGGTATTGACTGACAACCTAGAGAAGCCATCGAGCCGTGAGGCTGGAATCTGCCTGCTGGTTAAAAGAAAAGAAGCAATCCCTGCCTAGCTCGCAAGCCATGCATGCGGCAAGTGACAAGCCATGCGGCAAGTGGCAAGCATGCGGGAAGTGACAAGCCGACAAGGCTCGTCTCAACACCCCCTACTTCCCTGCGTCCTTTCCTTCCCTCCCTTTCCCTGGCTCGTCCACTTTGCCTGCGTCCCCGGGCCAATACCCGGGCGCATGGTCCGCTCGGCTCGGCTCAGGTCGGGTCAGGTTGGGTTGGGCCAGGTCGGTTCAGGTCAGGTCGGCTCAGGTCCGTTCAGGTCGGTTTAGGTCGGTTCGGGCCATGCCAGGGACAAGCCTCTACTGGCTCGAGACGTGCCGGCTCGGCTCGGCCCTTTTACCCGGAGAAATAGATGGTCAAGAAACTCACATTTTGGACAGATTCTGAAGGTTGCCAATAGTAGATGGTATCGGGCCAGTCAGTTTACTGTTCCATAAATTCCTGCATTTGTGAAAGGAAGGAGGGTTGTAAGGAGGGACTGAAGGCCATGTACCGAGCTCGTCAGCATCAACGTGAGACTTGGAACGAAACGACATGGCTGGCTGGCTGGCTGGCTTACAATCTTGAGAAGGTAACATGTTTTTTCTTTGTGGCGCCTCAAAAACCAGACACATCCCAGATCCAGGACCTGGGTCCAGGAGGCAGGCATAGCACTCACACAACAAGGTGTGAGCGCCTCACATGCCCACCCAAGGAGCAGCAGCACTCACAGGTGGGTAAGGCTTTGGAGGTTGCTGATGGAATCCGGGATTGTCCCGTTTAAGTTCTCGTCAGTGATGATTCTGTTGATGGTGGACATTGAAATGGGAGAGAGGCCCTTGTTTAGTCGACTAATAAATCGACTCAGAAAAAACTGAGTTAACTAAAAATTAGAGTCCAGGATTGAGGGCCCATGAGGGTCCACTCCCATGGCTTTTTACATCTCACTCACAGCCTCTGAAGCATGGGGGTCCCCTCACATCTGAAGCATGGGGGTCCCCTCACATCTGAAGCATGGGGGTCCCCTCACATCTGAACCATGGAGGTCCCCTCACATCAGAAGCATCGGGGTTCATGGGGGTCCATGAGGGTCCTTGAGAGCCCATGAGGGTCTACTCACTCACATCTCCGTTATCATGCCTTGGGAGTCGCACGTTACGCTGCTGGCTTTGTCACAGTCCCCACCAACCACCCAGCCGTCAAAAGTTGTGCTCCACGCCTTCTGACAGTCCAGCAGGACTTGTGCTGGTGGCAGGAAGAGGGAAGGGGGGGATTGGAAGATAGGACAGAAGGGCAGCCATTGGAGGAGGGAAGGGCAGAGAGTGAACAGAAAGGACTCAAACGGTGGTACAAACACATCTACCATTGCATGCCCCCGACACTTCTTATCGAGCGCCCTCCTCTCATCATATGCCCTCTACCTCCCTCATCACAGTCCCTCCAAATTCTCTCATCACATTCTCTCCCACCTCATCGCATGCTCTTCCATTTCCAGCCAGTGTACAGGAAGGGCGCTGGAGGAACGAGGACGGCACAGGGATGCGTGAGCAGGGAAAGGACAAGCCACCGGATATTCAACCTCATTGCGCCTCTCTCCCCTCCCCCTCCCCTCCCCTCCCCTCCTCTCCCCGTGTCCTAATATTCTGCTCCTCTTCCATGCTCCCTCTAATCAAATGCAGCTCGAGTGTGTCTCGCGCAATGACGAGTACGTTTACCTTTTTGGATTCATCTAGCGGACGTCCCGTGGATCTAATAGCGATGGTGAATCAAGCGTCTATGATAATTGATGGCCGATGATGTGTCTTTTTTTATTTTTATTATGGTGATAAATACGTGGTGTCGGCGTGTGAAGGTTGGGTTTCACATGCCTGATGGGAAACGTGAGGGATGTCACCTCATTGTGACGCTGGGCCGAGAAATTGTCTTACTACTTTCGGATATCACGTAGCGACGTGCATTTGGAGCCATCTTCGTGGCCAAATGATGCCATGACATGTGAGAGTGGTATAATACCTCGCTAGCCACTGGGTCAAAAACGAGGGTGTTATTTACTAGTAGGCGCAGCGGAATGCCATCAACACAGCCCACAGGCGTTACACGTGGAGTTCACGTACTTTCGGATTCAATCCGCCGGCGAAAAGAGGGGGAGGGGGTGCAGAAAGGGTCTTGCCAACGACGTGGCAATGCTGCTCGTGCATGACCAATAACGGCGTGACGGCAATGTGAGGGATGTCACCCCACGGTAACGCATTTCGAGGGGTGTTGCCGCGAGTCGCGCGGTCTATGGTACAAACCAAACGCGGCGGCGTTTCGCTTGAGTGGGGGCGCGTGACGCCACGACGCCACGGGAAGCAGTTTCTACTGCAAAGTTTTGCAGCACGCCGCCGCGCATCGAAGTATGTGCTCAACGAATAACTGTTGAATGAATCATCATCATCCGGTCACTCAGTGATCATCATGAGGCTGATCATGACACGGGACCGCACGCACCCTGCGACTTTGCGAGTGGCACGCATTCGACGCGTGAGTCCGTGTGACACGTCAGCAGCAGCAGCGCGCCTAGCAGAAGGGCTGCTGTGGGCTTCATCACGCCGCTCGCCGGGGGACAAGCCGCGGGACCTACGATAAGAAATCAGCTAATGTCGAATCACGTCTAAACTTTTGATATCTTTATCTGGGGGGGGGGAAAATACCACTAAATTATCAGCTAGAGGAAATGGGAAAGACGTGCTGAAGAGGGGCTCTGGTAACTGGCTGCGTTCATTCATAATATTCAATATATACGCTCACAGTGTTTGTGGCTTCTGGAAGTAGAGTGTCACTGAAAGGATTTGCTCGAAACGAAATGACTGGCGATATGGATACCTGTGGGTGGGGGAAAATCCGTTTGCAGTTGACAAGATGGCATGGTGTGAGTGATCTGGGGAATTTGGGATGGGGGGGACATGCCATGAACGATGACGGGATGGACTGGAATGGATGGATGAATGTGAGTGAGAGCCCCACTGGTAGCACTACAGTCGATGCCCAGCCTTATCTGGTGCATATGGCTTAATTTATGTATTCGAAAATAGGCAGCGGCATGCTGTCTACAGTCCCATTTGCCAAACATGCAATAAAGACACCGTGAAATGTCATCCCCTAACTTCCAGATATATGTTTTTTTTTCTGTTTTTTTTTCGAATGCTGTAACTTCGAGGTTCATTACAGTCCCAACTTTCCCATTGGCGAGCTTAGCGAGCGTTGGCCAAATCTGGCTTGTTTCATTACATTTCCATATAAAAAAGAGCGTGAGCCGAATGAGCATCAACTGTACTGAACGGAACCCGCGGCGGGAAGCAGCACCAGAAATGGAATCGGGATTCGGGAATAGGGGCGGTCGACGTACACAAAAACGAATCTTGTCACATCTTCAACCAATGACAGTTGATGGCGGTCGAAGCAGTTAAGCAGAGAAGGGGGAGGATTGAACGTGTGGGATTGGGTGAGCTGGGGAATGATGTGCTGTCCATATCAGACAAACTGACAGCTGTAATGTCTTGTCTTGTACCGTATTAGCAGCAGTGACACATAGGTGCAATGTTAAACCTGCAATAGCAATACACTCCTTTTTGGGATGATAATAGTGAATCTAATAATTTCACTGACAATCACAAAACAAAATGAGTGTCAGAAAACATTCACTTCACCCAAACTGCATTTCCCGAAACGCCACGTCGCTGTCATCCACGCCCTGCCCCAGCTTGGCGCGTTTCTTCTGCCGCACGCCGCCCGCCCCGCCGTCCAGAAACTGGGCGGCAGTTTTGGCGCGTAGCTCGTCGAGCCCCTCGCCCTCCTTGGCCCTTTCAAGCACAAGGTGGCGGCCGTACAGGTGAGTGCTCTTGAGCGCATCAAAGGCACTCTCTGCTTCCCTCTTTGTGGCAAACTCCACAAACGCAAAACCCCTGTGCCCCCCGTCAAACTTGCGGGGTAGCCTCATGCTTTTCAGCTGCAGAAAAGGGAGGGGGGAGTGGAGTGGAGAAGCAACAGGGACAAGAGAAGGCTCTGAGAGGGAATGAATAATGCGGTCCGTTCAGTGAGCCCCTTGCCCTCATTGGCCCTTTAAAGTGTTAGGTGGCGGCCGTACAGGTGAGTGCTCTTGAGCGCATCAAAGACACTCTCTGCTTCCCTCTTTGTGGCAAACTCCACAAACGCAAACCCCCTGTGGCCCCCATCAAACTTGTGCGGCAACCACATGCTCTTGAACTGAGGGTTGGGTGGGGATGGAAGGGAGGGGGTGGGAGGAAGGACAGTAGTCAGGCAGCAATCCGAAAGGCGCCTCCTCCCTTTGAAAGGCAAACCCCTTTGTGGACCCAAAGAAACTTGTGGGAAAGCCGCAAGTTTGATGCGAGAACAATCATGTGAAAAGGTTACCTGTGAAAAGGTTACATGTAAGAGTACTCATGTGCGAAGGTTACATGTGAAAATGTCGCAAATTCGAGAATCAACTGCCAAGATACCTCACCAGTTGCTGTGATCTATATTACCTGCACAGAAATCATTTCACCAGCCCACAAAGCTCACCTGCCCAAACGGCGCAAACAGCTGCTGAATGTCCCTTTTAGTGGCCTCAAATGGCTGAAGGAGAGAGGGAGATTGAGAGCAGGGATAGATGGGCGGGGGGAGGGTGAGATGGAAACGAGAGAGATGGAGAAGAAAGGGGCTGCTGAGTGTTCCTCTTGGTGGAATTGAATGGCTGGAAAGTGGCAACGGAGAAGGACGAATGGAAGAAACAAAATCAGGCAATTCGGTAATGAGGAAGGGATGGAAAACGCCCATTTTTCTCGCATCTTTGACCCCATTGCACAGCATTCAGAACTCCCCAACTCACCACATTCTGCACCACAACCTTTTCTAACTCTCCTTTACTTTGAACCCAGTTTTTTTTTTTTTTTTTCCATTCCCTCTCTTCACCTTCCCAATAAAAGCATTGTAGTATCTCCTTTGCACCCTCTCCTCCTCTGGCCCTTTGATAGCTCAGTGTATTCCGCCCATTCCTTAGTGTCACATCAACTCACCACATTCCGCACTATCACTTTCGTCGAGCTCTCCTTCCCCTTTCCCCCTGCCCCTGCTCCCTCGCCCTTCCCCTCGCCCCCCTTCGCCTCCCCTTTGCTCAGCTGCAGCAGCAACGCATGCCCGTCCAACACGGTTCCCTGTGGAAAGAGTTGAAGGAAGTTGGGATAGGAAGAAGGAATAGAGTAGAGTAGAGGATTTCAGAAAATGTAGGGGTAGACAGTAGGTTGCCTGCAGATGTTGCCAGTGCCCTTTGCTCAGCTGCAGCAGCAATCATGCCCGTCCAACACGGTTCCCTGGAAAGAGTTGAAGGGTGTTGTTGAGAATTCTCAAAAACTCCCTGGAAAGAGTTGAAGGAAGTTGGGGTAGGAGGGAGGAAAAGAGAAGAAGCCAGGTGTTCAGAATGGTGTAGGGGTATGCAGCAAGTTGCCTGTGGCTGTTCTTGCCTCCCCTCCCCCCTCCTCCTCCCCAATATGCACCAGATGTGCACGCATACATGCATGCGTGTATGACAGCACATGGACCGCACCACACGAACATGCACCCAACCCAAACAAGCATACATGAACTACTTTTAGGATGTGCATCCATGCATGCAGAAGGATGTGAAGACCACACACACCACACAACTCACATGCATGCGCGGTGTGCAGCGCGCAGGGCAGTAAGACCATGTATGTATGCATGACGTCATGTGGGGCACGAGTCACAACGCATGATCCACCCACCAGGTACGAGGAGGGCTGAACATGGCAACTCACCTGAAGCAGCTTGCAGGCGCGGTGTGCAGACAGCACAGAGCCAAACTCCGCGAACCCAAAACCCATTGACAGCTGCTTGCCATTCCGCACTCGCTTCTTGATCTGCCAGGGGTTTACAACACAAGTTTTGAGACGTCTCAAAATCTGCCAGGGGTTTACAACACAAGTTTTGGGACGTCTCAAAATCTGCCAGGGGTTTACAACACAAGTTTTGAGACGTCTCAAAATCTGCCAGGGGTTTACAACACAAGTCAGTGAGAGTGAAGCAGCATTAGGCGACTGTCAAGAAGCCCTCTTAAGCTGCTGGTGGGGGTTCACACACGAGCGGGATGATTGAGAGAAAAACAGCGGAGACGACTGTGGAGTCGAGGACAGTTCTTAAGCTGCTGCTGGGGGCTCGCACGCACGCTAGGGGGGTGCGGGAGAAACAAAAGTTCTTCTCAAAAGCTCGCTGTTCCGCGCTTGCTACTTCTCTATCTGCTGCGGTTTGAACTTTGACACGCAAGGGGGTTGAAGAAGAAGCAGAGGTAGTGCGGAAGGGAGCTAAGCGCATGCCAGTGAATCACGCAGGTCAAAGAAGCATATGACCTCGCATAAACAACGAATCATCAACTTGTCTCCTTTTTTTATTCGTGAACACAAAACCCCCCTCTCCCCTCTCCCCTCTCCCCTCTCCCCTCTCCCCTCTCCCCTCTCCCCTGTCCCCTCTCCCCTCTCCCCTCTCCCCTCTCCCTTCTCCCCTCTTCCCTCTCCCTCCGCCCCTTCCTCCGTCCCCCACCCCTGCCTCGCCACAAATCAGTGCGTGACACGTGGCCCACATCTTACCGTGACGCTGCGTAGTGCTGGGCCCTCCCCACCCGCCCCTGCGTGCTTGCTTCTGAGAAGCTTCTCCAGGTGCTCCTTCAGCTGCGCCTCTGTTGTGGCAAAGCTCAGGTTCTTCACAAACACACTGTGGCTCGTGGGCTGGTTGGAGGATAAGAAGGGAAAAGCGGGAGGGCGGGAAGCAGGGAACAGGAAGACGTTCAAAGAGGGAAGGTGAGAGGTCGATGCAAGAAGCTCCTCCAGGTGCTGCTTGAGCCGATTTTTGAGTCGACTCAAAAATCGCCTCCAGATGCTCCTTCAGCTTCACCCTCAGTGGTGGCAAAGCTTAGATTCTTCACAAACACACTGTGGCTCGTGGGCTGGCATGCAGGGAGAGGGGAAAATGCGACCAAGCGTCCCCACACCACCCGCCATGCTCCCACCACCCAAATCCCACCCACATTACATGTTCCCCTAGATTCCCCCTCTCCTAGCCTCACCTGCCCGTCCCCCCCCACCTCCTAGGCTTACCTGCCCGTTCCCCCCCGCCTCCTAGGCTTACCTGCCCGTCCCCCCCCACCTGCTAGGCTTACCTGCCCGTTCCCCCCTACCTCCTTGGCTCACCTGCCCGTCCTCCTCCCCTTCCACCACATGCCCCTCGGCCCCCTCTCCTCCCCCGTCTCTCTCTCCCGTCCCTCCCACCATCTCCGCCTCAGCAGCCATGCGCCTGGCTGCCTTCCCATCCATCAGCACCGGTAAAAGCCCCACTGCTCCCTGCTTCTTTGTACTCTTCACTCCACCTCCCTCCTTCCCTTCCCTTGCTCCTCCCTCTCTTACTCCCCCGCCCGCCTCCCTAGACGCTGCTGCAGCAGCTGCTGTTGTGTTTGCATGAGCTTGTGCGTCTGACAGTGCTGCGGGTTCTAGGAAGATTCCTTCTGGTGCCCATTCTAGGTAAAGCGGCACGTGCCTGGTTGGTAGACCAAAAAAAAGAAGAGATGGGGGGGTGTTGGTGGTTTGAGATGAGAAGTGTAAGAAATAACCAAAAAAAGGTCAAGGAGGTTGAAAGGGGTTGAGAGTGGTGCGAAAGGGTGAAGGGGCCCCAGGGGCACATGACCTGTTGACTCATAAAAAATGAGCGCTAGCTAGCATTTACGCCAACGCTTAAGCTGGACAGGTAAAAAAAAATCACTAGGTTAAGTGGTTAGAAGCACTCATTTGCACTCATTCGAATCACTTACAGGACATAAAAGAATCATACAATATGCAAACCACTCACTGGTATCTTTTATAAGCTAATCCTTTGAAGGCCCTCTTGGCATCAGCAGAGTCTGCCATCTCCACCTGCCATGGGAGTGAGGGGGTAGAGAGGAGGAGGGGGGTATTCGGGGGATGGGTGAAAGGGGAGAGGGGCGAAGGGAAGGGACAGGGTTAGAAGAAACAAGAGGGAGGGTGAGGGAGGGGGGTTTGGGGAAGTGGGGATGGTGGTAAGGGTCTGAGGAAACGAGCATACATGCTGGGCATACCAGACTTGAGTTGACCCGAGTTGACTTTCGAGTCGACTCAAATGTTAACACAGAGGAAATGAGCATGCATGTTGGGAACATCATACTTGACTTGACCCGAAGTGACTTCTGAGTCGACTCAAAAGTCTACAGAGAGGAAACGAGCATGCACGTTGGGAACAAACTCAAAAGTCTACAGAGAGGAAACGAGCATGCACGTTGGGAACACCATACTTCACACGCCTCAAAAGTCATGGAAGTTGGGAATAAGAGACCAGCAGCTTGACCTCTGTGTTAACATTTGAGTCGACTCAAAAGTCAACTGTGCCTATCCACACAGCTGTGCCTATCCACACAGCTGTGCCTATCCACACAGCTGTGCCTATCCATCCAGCTGTGCCTATCCACACAGCTGTGCCTATCCACACAGCTTTCAACCGAAACAAACCCACCAAGTCACCAACCCCGTCCCCTCTCCTCCCCCCACTCCCCCCATCTCACATCCCTCTCTCACATCCCCACGTACCAGTGCAACAGTGTTGGTGGGCGGCAGCACAAACCTCGCCACCGGTCCGTACCGCTGGAACAGCCCCACCAGCTCGCCCGCCTCCACCTTGAAGGGCAGATTCTTCACCAGCACCACACTCCTGCTGCGCGCCAAGCTACTGCCACCACCACCACCACCACCACCACTAGCACCGCCATCCGCCTTGGCATCCTTCTTCCCAGCTTCTTTGGCAGCGGCGGCAGCAGCGGTGGCGGCGGTGGCGAATTGCTCCATAAGAGCCACATCGATGCCAGCGTCTAGGAGTGCCCGTTTTGTGTCCGCCACTATGTGTGCCTCTCCTAGGGCCAGCCGCACTGCTGTGTCACTTGCTGATGGGTCGAGCAGGTCTCTTTTTGCGACCCCATATCTCAGGGCTACAGCTTCAGCTACCTGGGGGAGGGTGCATAGAGCAGGGAGCACGGAGATGGAGCATGAAGGTAAGAGCCTGTGTGGCGGCAGGCAGTGGCGTATTGCTCCATAAGAGCCACACCAATGCCCGTGTCAAGCAGAGCGCGCTTGGTGCCTGCCACTATGTGCACCTCTCCTAGGGCCAGCTGCACTGCTGTGTCACTTGCTGATGGGTCGAGGAGATCTCGCTTTGCGACTCCATATCTTTGCGCCACTGCTTCAGCTACCTGGAGGAGGTGGGACTAGGAATGGGGAGAGAAGATTGGAAGGCGGCACCAGCAGCGGCAGCAGGGGCAGCACCACCAGTGGCGGCAGCAGGGGTGGCAAATTGCTCCATGAAAGAGGGACGTGGGGATGGGAATGAGAGGGGAGCACGGAGCATCAAGCAGGGCATGCCCCACCGTATGCACCCATCTCTCCTACCGTATCTGGTCGCATGTAGAAGGAGCTCCAGGCGCGGGTGTCCCCTCCTGCCTCGCGCTTCTTCCTCTCCTCCTCCCTCCTCTCCTTCAACGTTTTCGCCTGCAGATTCGCGTCCCTGAATGGATGTTACCAATAAAACACAACATGATACGTCAACAAGAAAGCATAAGTCGGCGCAGGTCAAGAACAAGAACAGATACATTCACACTGACAGCCCCTCTCACTCTCCTTCTGTGTGTCTGCCTGCATTCTACATTCAGGTAGTTGCAGCGCAACCCACCCATTCCACCCAGCCTCTTCACATTCACATGAACAGCCTCTATCCCTCTCCCTCTGTGTGTCTGCCTGCAAGGCGCACTCACTCGTCCTTCTTGGGTGGTGGCCTGTGCGCTGGCAGCACATGCAGCAGGCGACCCTGGAAGATGGAGGAGTCGAGGGCCTTCATGGCACTGCTGAGCAGAGCAGAGCAGAGCAGAGCAGAGCAGAGCAGACAAAAAAATGTTATGGGCCAGGGGGAAAGGGGGCGGGTGGTGGTGGGGGGGATGGGAGGTGGGGGAAATGAAGTCAGTCAGAGGTACAACGTCGTGTGGGCACCTGCGCATGCGTTGCGTGCATGCGCGCCGCACTGGCAGCATGTGCAGCAGGTGGGTCTGGAAGATGAATGATGAGGAGTGTGATGGGGACCATGGCGGGGGTAACCTGCATGAACCACCCACTACCCACCTGACAGCATCCTCAGGCACGGTGAAGAGCGCATAGGCAAAGCCCTTGGAGAGCTTGGTGTGCCGATCCACCACCAGATGGACTTCTGCTAACGAGCCGAAGGGGGCGAGGAGAGCGCGCAGGTCATCCTCTCTGTTGAGAAGGAGTGAGCAGATGATGACATTGGAGGGAAAGGGAAGTGAGCGTATGAGCTTGGTGTGTCGGTCCACCACCAGATGCACCTCGGCTAGCGGTCCAAAGGAGGTGAGCAGGGTGTGCAGGTCGTCCTCCCTGCAGCATAGGGGCACGTACGAGGCAGAGAGAGAGAGAGAGCGAGAGAGAGAGAGAGAGAGAGAGAGAGAGAGAGAGAGAGAGAGAGAGAAGGGGGGGGGCAGGTGCGAGGCAGAGAGAGAGGGGCGCGCACAAGGCAGGGAGAGGCGTGTGTGGGAGGGAGGGGGAGAGAGGGCCGTACGAGGCGGAGTAGCAGAGGTTGCGGATGAAGAGCCGACCCGTCTCCCTCACATCCTCTGCTGCTCCCCCATCCACCACAGCTCCCCCTCCCTCCTCCGCTGCTGCCCCATCCACCACACCATCCATGTCGCCATCCCCTTGCTCTCCCTCTTCGTCCTCTTCTTCCCCTTCTTCCTTTTCGTCCTCATTCTCCTCCCCTTCATCCTCTTCCTCCCCCTCTTCTTTTTCCCCTTCCTCCCCCTCCTCCACGTCTCCGTCCTCCTCCTCTCCCTCACTCTCTTCCTCAGTCCCCACCCTCCTTCTTTCCTTTTCCTTCTTTCCCTCCTTTGCCTCTTCCTCCTCATCGTCATCGTCCTCATCACTCCAATTCGAAGCAACCCTTTTCTTGAGATAATCCAGATTACTCAAACCCTCCTCCTCCCTTTCCTCCCCTTCCTCCCCCTCCTCCCCCTCCTCCCCCTCACTCCCATCCCCCTCCTCCCCATCTCCCCCCCCTCTCTCTTCCCCTTCCTCCTCACTCCCATCCTCTTCCACGATCACATCACCATACAACTCATCATCACTCTCCTCCCCTTCCTCCACCTCCCCACTCTTCCTCCCTCCCCTCCCCACCTCTCCCACCCCCCCACTCACACTCCCACCGCCCCTCCCCTTCCCCACTCCCCCTCCTGCCCCCCCATCCCCATCCCCATCCGCAGTATCATTCGCCCAAACCTTCTTCTTCCTACCTCTTTCCATCACCTCTAGAAACTCCCTAAACCCTTCATCCTCCTGCGCTGCCTGCTTCACAGCCACCCCTCCCACCACCCTCCCTGCCTTCTTCTTCATCCCTTTCTCCCCTCCCACACCCTCCGCTCCTGCCCCATCCTCCCCTCCATCCCCTGCCTTCTTCCCGGCTTGCTTCCCCCCTTCCGCTGCTGCTGCTCCCTGTTCGCCCGACTTCTCCTCGCCCTTGGTCTCCTTGGCCTGCGTGTGCTTGCTCCACGCGCGGGGCAACGCCGTGTGACCTATGGGCATTGCGAACTGCAAGTGAAGGGGTGGCGAAGAAACGGGGATCGCTGTGGGGCATTAATGACTTTAGACTTGATTCAAGCATCACCTCTTTCGCCTGGGTGTGCTTGCTCCACCCACGGGGCAGTGCTGTGTGACCAATGGGCATCGCGAACTGCAATTGAAGGGGTGGCGTGGTGGGGAAATGGGCATTGCAGTTGGTGGGGCATTATTGAAATTTGATTGAGTTGGCTCCGACGTCATCCCCTCCTTGGTCTGGGTGTGCTTGCTCCACGTGCGGGGCGATCCTGTGTGACCGAGTTTTGAGACGTCTCAAAACGCAGGGCAATGGTGTGTGACCGACGGGCATTACAAACTGAAGGCAAGGGGAGGGCGGAGAAAATGGGGATGACGGACGAGGGGGGGGGAATGGGGATTGTTGGCTTTTGATTCGATTAGAATATCAACTCGTACGAACGGACACGAGCCCACTGACAGCACGAGCACGTGCTAGTGTGCCTGCTTAGTGCATGAGACGTCTGACCGATGGGTTTGCGTCGCTACCACAGTTGAGGGGCTGGCGGAGCGGAGGAAGGTGGTTCGGTTGAGGGGCTGACGTGACGTCTATGAAAGCCTATGAAAGCCTATGAAAGCCACGTGCGTTTTTTAACCTCTGTTCATCACCTTATGCAACAAACGACTTACCTCACAGGTGAATCGGAACGTGTCCATGAAGGAGCGATTGAAGCAGGCTGTGAGAAGTAATAGTAACTGACGCGAAACAATGTGTAACAGGGTTACCGCACCTCACAGGTGAGGCGGAAGGTGTCCATGAAGGAGCGATTGAAGTAGGCGATCGCCGCTGCTGCCTCCTCCTCTGATCGCAACCCCACAAAGCCAAACTGCCTCGACCGCCCGTCGCTGGTGGGGAGAGGGCGAGAGGGAGGGGGAAGGGGAGGAGTGGGGATGGTGGAGGAGGAGGAGGAGGAGGAGGAGGAGGAGGAGGAGGAGGAGGAGGAGGAGGAGGAGGAGGAGGAGGAAGGGGGAACGGTGGAGGGGAGGGGGGATAAGAAGGTGGTAGGAAGAAGCAATGCGCAGGAAGCTTCTTCCTCCTCTGATCGCAGACCCACAAATCGAAACTGATGCAACCGCCAGTCACTGGTAAGGGGGAGAAGGGGAAGGGGGGTGAACGTGCGGTGAGAGAGGGGAGAGGGGGAGGGGATGGGAGAGGGGAGGGCGAGGGGAGGGGAGGGGGAGCGGGGAGGGAGGGTGAGGGGAAGGAGGGGGACGGGGAAGAAAAAGGGGAGGGGAAACGGGAGTGGGAGGTACGGAGCGAGGAAAATATGGCAGAAGAAAGGGAATTCAAGATTCTCCAACCGAAAACTAGGAAAGTACTGTTGCGGCAATCCTCATTGGCGTCGGGAGAAGGGCGGGGGCTAGAAGAGAAACGGGAGATGATGTGACATGGCAGAAGCGAGAGAATGAGCTTCCCCTCCCCCCCCTCCCCACTTGACCCCCGCACTTGATTCCCCCCCACTTAATTCGCCCGCTGTTTACCACCACCCCCCCCCCCCCCCCCCCGCACTCCCGCGCTTGAATCCCCCCCACTTGATGGGGGAACAGATACCCAGCACCCAGCATATGCCATGTCATGTGACCCTGGCTAGCAGGATCGCTCACCGCGTGCGCATTATCTTAGCGTCGGTGACGTGGCCCTTGACGGAAAAATGTTCCCTCAGTCTGTCCTCCGTCACGTATTCTGGCAACCCCTTGACGCACACGCGCGTGCTTCGAGGCATCTGGTGAGCCTCCTCCGTCTGTACCCCCATAGTGAGTCCCGCTATTGGCAGACAGCCTCGTGGTCTACAGAGAGTCAACGGAGGGTCAACGGAGCTTTAACGGAAAATTAGCGGAGAACGTCAATTCGCGAGATGCATCAGCTGACTCGTGGAACGCTGGAACGCAAGGTTACGGAAGAGGCTACGCGAGCAGTCAAATATGACTGCTCAATAATGAATTATGGCCGCACAGCGAACAGGCAGTGGATAGCCGATTAGGGAAAACTATTTATTTCAGACAGTCTGACGGGTGTAGTATAGGCCGACAAACCGCGACCTGGATATGACTTTCCGCTAGACCAAGAAGCAACAGCGATTAGGGTTTTGTGAGCAGGGCAGAGGGGATATGAAGGTTTCGGGTTTGGCTATGTAGGGATTACAGACAGGCAGATTCAGTAACACGCAGAGAAGAATACAGCGGGTTTCTTAGTCGTTCATTAAAATCAACTCATGAAATTAAATCCTCACATGCAATGGACTGAGTATTGAAGTGGTTTCCTTTTTGCATTTGATAAACCAGGACAGAGATTGTTATGTTACACAGCTTGACATTTTCCGTCGCGGATTATCTCCCCTACCTTGATTGTTAGTGCATCATAGCTTTTCACCACATCTATCCAACATCCTGACAGCCTTGGATATATCCTTTCATATGCCCCACCAGCTTCCTCTGCTCCTCTTCTGAAATAAATAATATTCCTGCCACCCCAGTAGCTGGACAATACTGACGTGCCGCCCTGTACACTTATAAAGCATGAGCTCCGAGCCATTGTTCTGAACTGCACCTCGTTATAATCACATTCCGGGCAGCTCCTGCGAAGCTTGTGCATTGTAGTGAAACGAGGCTGCAGCCAAAACTCCTGTCGGAACATTCTATACTCCCCTAAACCTGTCAAATCCTGCTGCTCCCGATCCGTCTTAAATGCCCTCCCCGCTCGGTTGTACACCACATAGTACCCGCTATTGAGAAACTCACTAATGATCCGCTTCAGCGTCGGAATGTTGATAAAATTAACCGGCGGCTCACCCCACTCAGTCTCAAACTTGTTACTGATCACAACCAAAGGAGCACCAGCAGGAACATCAGTCCAAACCGGCCCAAGCTTCCGAATGTGGGAGGCGAGAGGAGGAGCTGTCCATGTATCCGGAATCTCACTGTCATGCAAACCCTCCTTAAAACCATACCGCTTGATCACGAAGTTAAAGTGCGCAGATCGCTTGCACTTCCATCCGACGGTCTGGATCGGGCTGAAATAGTAGAGGAGTGCGAGAGAGGGCATGGCGCAGAACCTAGTAGAGTTCAAGGAGCCGTTTAAATAGTGCCAGTAGGCGAACGGGAGGGCGGCGATCAACTCGTACCCAAACTCGCCACGGAAAAAGATGTTGATGGGCGTGCGGAGGGAAGCAGGAGGGGGGATTTCAGTGGGGTCTAGGTTCGGTGTAGGCATGGTGCTGGTGGGGTCTAGGTTTGGCACAGGCATGGTGCTGGTGGGGTCCAAAGAACGAAGGGGGCTGTGAGGGACGGCGGAGATCCGGTTTGGGGGCAAGAGAGCATCCCGGGCAGCAGCGGGGATAGGTGGAGAGAATACCGAGGGATTGGTTTCAAGCAAGCTGTAGGAAGAAAGAGTGCCAGCGGGTAGGCTGGTTGTAGAGAGCGGTTCTGAATGCTGGGCTTCTCGCAAGTAGGGAAGGAACGAGGAGCGAGGGGTTCTTGGAATGGTGTCGGAGGGTTCAGGTGGGGTGACGTGTGGCTGGTTTCCTTGCCAGGACAGGTGGCTGGGATGGGGAAGGCTTAACGTGGACAAGGGCTTCTGAAAAAACTGAGAAAGCTCTTCAGGCAATGCGTTGTTGGACCGCTGTTGGTGCAAGGACTGGTGGTGGCTGGGATGGGGAAACGGGGGTAACGTAGGCAGTGACCTTTGAGGTGGCCCAGGACTTGCTGCAGGCAGTGAGTTGTGTGCCTGGTGTCGGTGCAAGGACCGAGGTTGGGGAAGAGACAATGTGGCGAGTGCGCGGGGCAGCGGCAGGGAGGAGGAGGCAGGGGTTGCTGTCAGAGGCAAGGCGATTTCTGTAGTTTGAGATTTCTCAACACGTGCCAGGGGGGAGGCTGGTTGCGTGGTATGAGAATTCACAATCTGTGCCAGAGGGGGAGCTTTTCGCGCTCTGGAGGGGAGGGTCGAATCTGTGATTTTTTTAGCTTCGGAGGTGATCGAGTTTTGAGAGGATGAGCCTGGCGAGGGAGGGAGGGAGGGAAACAGCAGGGCAAGTCACGAGGAGAGCAGAGGTAGATAGGGAAGATATCAACTCACAAGCCGATTGGGATATTAGCGGCTAAGCCAGCTGCCTGGATCCCCCTCTCACCCGCGGCCCCATCCCCCCCCCCCTAACAAAGCAAGAAAATAATAATATTAAGAAATAAATAAATAAATGTTACAATGGAAGATGTGAGCATGAGGGACACGACGATCTGTGGTTTGGATTGGAAGGATTCATCTGCCTGACGTGCGTCTCCAGGACCAGGTATCTAGGAACCATAACACTCATCTGTCTGACGCACCTAGGAACCATATAACTTGTGGAGAGAAGTCGTGCGATGGTAGCTTGGAGAGAGCAGGGCGAGCGAACGGCATCGCCACGAAGCCGACGGCGACGAGGAGAAGAAACGCCACGACGAGTGGTAACGGTTTCGCGAATGGCCGTCGCGAGCAGCGCCAGAAGCGGGCACAGCGCGAGTAGTGCCAGAAGCGCCGGGGATGCATGATGGAAGGGAGAGCTGGTCGCAGCGTGAACGGCGACGGGCATTGGACGCACGGCGAGTGGAAAAACGGACGACGAGAGCACAGCGACGGGCGCGGCGTGACAAGAAGGCGCAAGAGCCGCAGGTGCAAGCAAGAGGGGCAGGAGCAGCCCGCAACCGCTGCATGCTACTCGATCCCTTGTGTATAGCGTCGCATTTTATTCATTGGTTTTCACTGAAAGGGGTATATCCCCTGCTGTTCCCAAATACCCGAAGCGCGGGAAGACAGACGCACCAAAAAGGGAACAGCACGATAGCGGAACGTGCGCCTATTTATAAAAGAGACGGAATGTACATGGGACGAGAAGTAAAAATCACGCGGGAAGGACTTCTTTAGGACGGGTAGGTGCTTTCCTAATATCTTATGCTAATCTTGCAAGAAATGTTGTTATGGTGAATGGATGGATGGATGGGCTTGAAAACAAGTCCCAGAGCAACGGCGGCTTAGAAATTGGGTTTTAGCTTCCGCGAAAATTGCACAGATTTAGTAACCCGTTACGAGATAGCTTGCGAATGTGGAGTAGTTGTTTGCACAGGATTAAACTTCGGCCGCTCAAAACCGCAGCGGGGACTCGAACTTCGCAGCCCGCAGCCCAAGGAACATTCCAATTGTCACACATTCCGATGCCCCGAAGATCGCGAACGTTACGCTGACTACTTCGTGTCGCCGCACCTTCGTCTGACACGAAGCAGCGGACGCGGCCTCAATGGTGTCACCAATGCAACTCAATCTCGGCAACCAGATATATGCCGTGCCGCTTTGAAACGCCGATGATCTCACCCCACCGCACACTAATGAAGTTCATCACGCAATGCTCGTAACAACCACTGACTGATCACCACATACCAAAAAGCCGTCCAACAACCATGCCCCCAACCACTCAGTGATCACCACCATTCCCGCTTTCTACGCCGCTTTTTGCTCAAACCCCCCAGCTGCACCCTACATCAGGCAAATAGCCATGTAAGAAATCAATTAAACATGCCACCGAGTCAATCCGATGTTCTTTCTCTGAGAAACAAAATTCCCAGCAACGCAATATCCTCTGAAAATTCCGCTAGCTCCAATCCACACCTTACAACTACTACTAGCTGACGTGCCAAAAAGCTCATCACCGCGTAGCAACCATGCAACCTAGCGCGGCGCGGCAAGATTCCAAAATTCCCGGAATGAGCGGATCGCTATCAGCGCCGGTGCTCGTTCTCGCGCTAATCGGCGCGCTTGCCGTGTTCACCGAGGTCGTGTCGCTCGTGCGCGTCGGCGTATCGCCGTCCTACGTGTCGTTCTCGTCCGCCGTGGCCGCCGTTCACGGACGCGATGCCACGTGGACGGAGCGCGGTACGGCTCCGGGAGACGCGGAGAACGACCTGGAAGGAACGGCGTGGCCTGCGGGTGAGTCGGCTCGCATGTGGAAACGCGATGGACCAATCAATGGGGGCAGGTGAATGCGGTGGGATGCGATGAGAGTCAGTGGGAGTAGGTGAGATTAGGTGGCAAGATGTTGAATTGGCTGTTATTGAGTCTGTGAAGTCTTTCCAGCATGGATAAAGTGAAACTTACTCCAGCCAGCCAATTAGGGCCAACTGACACGTCAGACTTCATCACTCCTGACCCATCCAACCCACCAGATGCTCCCAGCACAGAAGCAGCAACCGAAGCAGCAACCGAAGCAGCAACCGAAGCAGTAGAAGCAGCAGCAGGAGGAGGAGGGGAAGCAGGAGGAGGGGAAGGGAGCTCGGGTGTTGACTCCCTTCCGCCGCTCTCTCTGCTGCCTCCGGAGTCACGAGCAGGACTCATGTTCGATGCTCTTCTGAGAGCGCAGTTCCGAGTGCAGCAGGTGCGTTGCGGTTCACTGCGGTTGAGAGGTACAGTGGGTGTAGGTGCCTTGTGTGTAAAGCATGTGGGCGCCATACACTGGAATCAGAATCTAGGGTTCAAACCTTGGCTGGTCCACATTTTCCGCCTGTGTGGAGAACTTGAATGTGGTTACCAGATTGAACCCAGAGAACGATCCTCCGCTGGCCTGCTTCACCAGCGAAGTCGCTGCCTCCTTCTCAGCGAACTAGGTCTCTGCGGGGGCCGACTCCCTGAAGTTCGAGGCCAACGGGGACATTGGCACCAGGGGGGGACAAGTGTAACGCCTGTGAGCTGTGTTAATGGGCATTCCGCTGCACCATATAACACCCTCGTTTTCACCCAGTGGGTAGCGAGATGTTACATTGTGTCACTCACCCTGCTCTCCCGGAGTCATGAGCAGAGCTCATGTTCGATGCTCTTCTCAGGGCGCAGTTCCGAGTGCAGCAGGTGCGATGCGATGCGGTTCAGTGCACTGTAGTGCGGTGTGGTTGGGTGGTGTGCAGCAGCTGTAGGTGGCTCGTGTCACTCTTTGCTGCCTCCAAGGTCACGAGCAGGGCTTCTGAGAGCGCAGAAGGTGTGTTGCGGTTCAGTGCGCTGTAGTGCGGTTGAAAGCTGCAGTAGTTATTGCCTCCTTGTGCCACTCACTCTCTTATGCCCCTGGAGAGAATGAGTCACAAGCAGGCAGATGTGGGAAGCCTTCCAGGCGTGGGCAGCAGGCGAGCGACTGGGTGGGTCTCACAGTGCGATTGGTATGCAAAGGCGTGGTGGAGTGGATCTATGATGGATTATACGCGTTTAGCGTATATATGCGTATCGTATATACGCTAGCGTGTATACGCCATACGCTTGAGGGTCGGATCAGGCATACGCTTTTCGGGCAGGGAAAAAAACGTTTCGGGCAGGGAAAAAAACATTTCGGGCAGGGTGGAAAAACATTACCCCCTATCTCATCTCACTAAGACGTGCCCTAGCATTTTCCTGAGTCCGATCAGCGGGTGGGGTGGGGCGGGGAGTAGACATCATAGCTAGAGGGAGTAGTGTTGGAGATGATGTTTCAAGTTGGGAGTGCGCGGGGACACTGCTGCAAGCGGGAATGCAAGGTAGGAAATGACGGGTTAGGAGTTGGGTTGGCTGGTAAGTAGCGTGAGATTTGTTGGGGGTTCGATTTTGATAGGTTGGGGTTCGTACAAGGTTAAAAAATACGACCGTATTTTTGAAAATTTACCGTAAATTACGGAATCGTAAAATTTGAAAAATTAGGTCGAAAAAATTACCGTAAGTTGGGTAAAAAACGGTGTGACCTTGCAAAATTAGGTTGGTTTAAAATACGGTCGTAAATTACGACCGAAAATTTGAAACCGAGTTTGTGTATAGCGAATTTCGACATTTCCCAACCGTCACCCTGCTTGTGAGAATTTTCGTGCGCCCAAATCCACTCGAGTGTGTTTTTTTCCCGAGTTGGGAGTGTGGGGAGGGAGTAGGAGCAGTTTTAGCCTAAAGGTAGGTACTAGGTAGGCTTAGCAATGGTAGTGGTGTTGTGGTCCATTGTAGGCTTGTTTCTCTGTAGTGTAGTTTGTTGTCGCCTTCCTGGTCATCGTTGTAAGCGTTCTAGTAGTTTCTGGAAAAAAAAACAATTGCTGCAAAAAATGTCCAACAAAAAAACGACCGTATTTTTGGCAAAACCACCGTAAATTACGACCGTAATTTACGACCCGTAATTTACGATTACCGTATTTTTGAACCTTGGGTTCGTAGATAAGATGGTTTTCAATGCGGTAGAGGGGATGGGTTCAAATGCCTAGATGGGACCTGAAATTCGACATTTGATTAGCCAGATGTGCCTGAAAACTTCGAAGTCAGATTCTAGCTTGCATAGACCGCGGATTTGCATTTCGACTTCGGCGAAATGCTCACCAAGAAAATCCGCATCTTTTCTGCGATTTTACTTTCCCGGGCTGCCCGAAAATTTTTATGGCTGCGTATCGCGTACTCGCTAGCGTTTAGCGTATTGCGTGTACACGCCAAACGCAAAGGGTCTAGAGCGTATAATCCATCATAGGAGTGGATAGCATGACAGCACGGTAAATGAGTCGTTCCTATTCCCCCCTACTGCACCCCCTTTGAAAAATGATTACACACAGGCATGGACAGCAGGCGAGCTACTGGGTGGGTCCCGTCCCACAGTGCAATTGTTCTGCAGGCAAGTGATTGAGAGCATGGCAGGGTAGCAGAGGCGCAGTGCTTGCCTGCTTTCCACTCTTCACTCTCCCTCCTTACCTTGATCGATCGCAGGCGTGGGCAGTGGGTGAACTTCTGGGTCCAACAGTGCGGTTATTTTGCAAGGGCGTGGTGGAGAGCATGGCAGCAGAGGCGCTATGGCTGCCTACCTGCTTTCCCTTCCGAGGTGACTCAAAAGTGGCTGCCTGCCTGCTTTCCCTTCCCGATGCAGTACCAAGCCCGTTTGTTTTCCCATTCCCAATGTCTCCCATCCAGGCGAGGGCAGGAGGGGAACTAGTAGAGTAGATCCCACAGTGCACTCATTCCGCAAGGCAAGGCCATGGTTGAGAGCATGGCAGCACGGAGATTAAGCCGTTCCGTTTCCCCCCTCTTGCGACCCCTTTCAAAACTGACTGAATACACACAGGCATGGGCAGCCGGCGATCTACCGGGTCTTACAGTGCGGTCCTTTCGCTAGGGCGTGATGGAGAGCATGGCAGCAGAGGCGCTATGGCTGCCTGCTTTCCTTCCAGGGGCAGAGGCCCTTCCTTTCTCATCCTCTTCCTCTCCCACTCCTTCCTTCTCTCCTCGGGACAGGCATGGGCAGCAGGCGAACTAGTTGCTCCCACAGTGCGGTGGTTCCGCAAGGGCGTGGTGGAGAGCATGGCAGCAGAGGCGCTGTGGCGGCCTGCTGGCGTCATTGCTGCTGCTGCTGCCGATGCTGCTATTGGCGCTGCTGACCCCGACGCTGCTGCCAAGGCTGCTGAAAGTATACTTCTCACATGATTGACTTCTTATCTTAAGAAGTATATTCATTTATTTATCAAATCCAGCCGAAAGTTGTTCATGTAGGTGCTGCTGGTTAGGGTGTTTTTTTCTTTCAGCTTCTTCTCTAGCTTCACCTGAAGAGGGAAGCGGGAATTGGATCCATTGAAGTGAGTGTTCTTGATCGGTTTTGGCTGGCTCTGACAGCGAAGTGGCAGGTGCGGGCCGACAAGTGGCAGGTGCGGGCCAACGAGTGGACACTTTGTATTGTGTGTATTCATCTTCTCCTCTCCCCTCTTGCACTCCTGCCTCTTCTCCACTGAGGCAGCAGCGGCAGGGGCCAACCAGGGCGACTCACATCCCCTACTTCTCTAGTTTTCCCTGTCCCCACTCCAGAGGTGGCAACGAGGGAATCAGACAGAGGTTTGTATCCTTTGAGGTGATTGTGCCTGAGGCTGTTGGCACTGACAGCAGAGTGGCAGGAGCGGGCCAACCAGGGCGACTCACATCCACCCTACCCCTCTTCCCTTGCATTGCCCGTTCCAGAGGCGGCGGCAGCAGCAACGGCGGCGGCGAAAGAAACGAGGAGAGGGTTGGATCCATTGAAACGGGTGTTTCTGAGACTGCTAGCTCTCACAGCGGAGTGGCAGGTGCGGGCCAACCAGGGGCATGCGGAGACAGGGAAGCATGCCCCGTTTGGCCTCCATATAGTCACACTGGGGGGGTCAATAACGAGGGGCTTCAGCAGCAGAAGCACACAGTGAGTCAAGGATTGTGCCTGACGGGGTTGGGCTGCTGCCCGCACCCAGGGGTGTGTGGAGAAGGAGAAGAACGCTCCCTTTGGCCTGCATGTAGTCACATTGAGTGTCACGTGTAGAAAGATGTCTTTTGAGGCGCCTCAAAAGGAAGGGAAAGGGAGTAAAGCGAAGAACGCTCCCCTTGGTCTGCATATCGTCATACTGGGGGTTCAGCAGCTGAAGCATGCATGCAGTGGGTGGCAGGCTTTAGTCATTGGGTTCTCTGGGTTGTGAGAGGGGTGGTTGAGGGGTGTGTGTGGCTTGTGTGGCTGGATGTGTGGCTTGCTGTACACCCACCTCATTTCGAGCCTGCTCAAAATAACTGACCGCATCTCCATCTCCTCTTACCCTTGGCTGTTTCTGCTTCCCCTCCCATCCATCTCCTTGCTTTGTTTCTTTATTTTTTTTTCGTCTCTTTCCTCTCCTCCTGCCTCTCTCACCTCTCCTCCCCCCGCCGCCTCCCACAGTGCGTTACCCCTAGCCGGACCTCCTCCTGCCCTTCTCAGTGACAGCCTTACACTTGATCCCTCTCTCACCATCCTGCATATGTTCCTCCTATCTCCTCTTTCCCGCCGTTCCCCCAGAGTGCGCCACCCCTGGCCGGACCTCCTCCTGCCCTTCTCGGTCACGGCCTTCCCTCACCTCCGCAACTTTGTCACCAACTCTGCTGTGCGTGCCTGTGGGGCCATCTGCCCCGCCCTCAGCCTCCCATCCTTCCTGGGAGATTCCCCAGGTGAGCCTTTCTGCCGTTACCACCCTCCTCAACCTCAACCTCTTCGGCTGTCCCTACACCTCCCACCACAGTGGCCCTGCCAGAGGCTAATGTGACCCCTCTCTTTTACAAGAAATCCCGATTCCTGTGCTCCTTCCTGATGGAAAACGTGCGAACCTAGAGAGCGTAGTAAGAGATTAAGTTCGTCGGCTTCGACGGAACATTGCGTGCAGCTCAATAATAAAGCACGCTTTCAACCAAGAACTAGGCTGATGCAATCGCGATTTGAATGCGACGGGGTATCCTGGCGGAATTACTACGAAGCCATGAATTAGATATAAGAATAGCTTTAGCAAGAGTTCATAAGTGACGATTTTGACAACAATTAAACATAAACCCAAAGTGTCAAACTAGCAACACCAAAGGTGTTGCGGCGAATAGCAAAGGTTTGGTGGTGGTTGTTGTGTGCGAGTTCAATTCCAACCCGCAACAAATCTATCAATCACATTTTGCCCATACTCTTAGCCCACAACCAGGTAGAGCAAAATACCACAACCATCTACACAATCATCACTTCCATCTCTCCTTTTCCACCCTTATCCCACCCCTGGCCCCCACCACCCCGTCCCCAGACATAGTGATCACAGACTTCAACATCAACGTGGGAGAGGCCTGGGACTCCTCTCTGTTGCTACCCCCAACGCTCTCCCCTCTTCCCACACCCATCCCCCTCCTTCCCAATCCTCTCCCTTCCAACACCAGGCATAGTAATAACAGAGTTCAATATAAACGTTGGTGAGGCCTGGGACTCCACGCTCCTGCTGCGCCAGCTGGCGGCCTGGCCCTCCCACCCGGCTCTCCTCAACCTCAACCTCTTCGGCTGCTCCTCCACCTTCTCCCACCACAGTGGCCCCACCAGAGGCTCTTCCTCTTCTTGTGACCCCATTCCCACACCTTTCCCTTCCATCCCCTCTCCCCTTTCCCTCACTTCCCCCCAAACAACTTCCTTCCAGGCATAGTAGTAACCGAGTTCAACATAAATGTCGGTGAGGCCTGGGACTCCACGCTCCTGCTGCGCCAGCTGGCAGCGTGGCCCTCCCACCCGGCTCTCCTCAACCTCAACCTCTTCGGCTGCGCCTCCACCTTCTCCCACCACAGCGGCCCCGCCAGAGGCTCCGCCTCCTGCGACCCCATCCCCACGCCCTCCTCCTCTGACTATGCTGCGGCCGCTGCTGCTGCCGCTGGCGTGCCCACACTCAGTATGGCCCGCGCGCTCACTCCGTTCTGGCGCCCCGCGTCCGTTCCCCGATGTAGCAATCTGGAAGGGAGCTATGGGAATGCTTCTGCTGGTACTGCTGTTAGTGGTGGTGGTGCGGTTGGTGGTGTGGGGAGTGGGATAGGAGGAGGTGGAGTGCGGTCGGCTTGGGTGCGGCTGGTTGCAGGGGCGTGTGAGAGGGAGTGCACGCTTCCCAAGGACAGGTGCCCCCCGTCAGGAGGCAAGCCATTCTCCCTTCCCTGCACTGCCTGTGTGCACGCGTGCTACGCCCGGGAGGGGTGGGGGGCGGTGGGATTCGGTGGGGATGGTGGAGAGGCGGTAGGAGGAGGGGAAGGAGTGGTGGAAGAACAGCTGGCGAGTCTGGGAGTGAACCGGCTGATAGGATGCTCAGGTCATGAGCTAGGCTCTCTCTACCTACCTGACCAAACACCTGCCGCCGTCGCCGATGCTGCTGCTGCCGCTGCTGCTGCCGCTGCCGCCGCTGCCGCTGCTGCTAGTAACTCTGACGTGGGAGACTCAGAGGTGGTCGGGCGGCCTCTTTTGGAAGTATCTGCGGAAACAGTGCTGGGTGCCGACCGGGTGCACATGGTAGAGTTTGGGCACGAGCTGGCGGCGGCAGTTGTGGCACGGCATTTGGTGTCCTCTCTGCTGGCTCTTACCCCTCATGACATCAACCTGTACCTAGAAGAAGAGCAGCAAAGAGAGCAAAGGCAGTCCGGTCAACAACAGCAGCAGCAGGCTTGGACACACATAAAGCCAGAGCGAGGGCAGTGCTTCACCACCAACTGGGGGGACTACCGGCAGAGGCACCGGTGCCCCAAGCTTGTTGCCATGAACGGGCAGGTCTCCTTGAAATCCCGCCAGCCTGGGTGGGTGCTGTACCCCTTATCGCGCGATAAAGAAGCTTTTATGTCGCACGTCCCCAACGCTACAGTGACTTTTGCGGCTAATGTGAATCTACGAGCCGGAGGAAGGCTGGCTTTTCTGTTCCTGAAGGCGCAGGATCTCGGGCCTGGGCTTGTACGCGTAGCGTGGGGGGGTGAGGGTGGGAAAGGTGGGGGGGAAGGTGGGGCGATTGGACCGATTTTGTTGAACTCAGAGGCATGGAGATCGCCTACAAGGGTTGTGGGCGGGCAGGTGTTGCCAGGGATAGTGCCAAGAGGGAAGGTGGAGGTTTCAGTGACAGTGGTTCCCAGTGGTGGGAATGGAGCTCCCGAGGGGTTTGGTGTAATTGGCGTATTTGTGTTGTCAGGGCTGCTTCCAGAATCCATGTTTTTATGAGTGCTGAAGATTTGCTTTCTTGCCAATGTGTTATTTAACAAAATTGCATGTTGATACCGTAGTGTGAATGTGCGGAAGCAATACATGTTCCTCTGATTGAGAGTTGTACCATGGCATTAACAAGATAAGCATTACTTCAGAATTGCTCTAATAAAACAATAATTGTTATACAGTCTACAGAGCTTGTTTCATAATTTACTGTAATGTTGTACCTGCTCGATTATACTCAAACACCCTTAACAACAGAATATGCTTTCTTCATCTCGTTGGCTTGCTCGTCCACCTTGATCGCAGCACTCGGCACCTCTGCTCCCACCACTTCATTCCTCACAGCAAGCAGCTCACTGGCAACGTATGACATGCTGGGCCGACTGGCAGTGCGCTCCGCGGTGCAGGAGAGGGCCAGCAGGGCCAGGCGCAGCACAGCATCATCCGGGGCGTCCATTCTCAGATCGTTGAGGGGTGCCGGGTTGTCAGAGGAAATGCAATCCTCCTCCTGGCGGGTTGGAGAAGGGGCGTCCATGCTGAAGTCCTTGAGGCGGGCCGGGGTGTGGGAGATGAAAGCCTTCACCTGAAGGATTGAACAAGGCCGGTGGGGATGGGGACAGGGGCAGGGAGTGGCGCAGTACAGTGATGTGGGTGAGGGTCAGTGACACATGCAGTGATGTGGGTGAGGGTCAGTGACACATGCAGTGATGTGATATACATGCAGGGGTGCACGTGCTGAGGTCCTTTAGGGGGGCCAGAGTGCTGTAAGAGATGCAAGCCTTCACCTGAAGGATTGAGGGTAGACATGAGCACAAGGGCGAACACCTGTTCGGTTCGCCTCGAACGTGTTCGAGGCGAACCGAACAGGTTTGTTTTTTTTTGCTTAAATTGTTCGCCGAACAGTGTTCGATGTTCGCCCGAACACGTTCGTGTTCGGGCCGCTGCTGCAATTTGCCCCGCGACGAACACGAACGTGTTCGAGGTTCGCCCGAACACGCCTTCACAGGCGAACGGCGAACACGTGTTTTTGCTTAAAGTGTTCGCCGAACCGAACAGTGTTCGGTTCGGCAAACGGATGTGTTCGTCTAGGGGTGAACACGAACATGTTCGTGTTCGCCCCTTGCTCATCCCTAATTGAGGGTGCGGCATGCAAGAGGCAGACGAGCAGAAGGAAGACTGGTTGAGGAATAAGACATTGAGGAGCCACACTTGAGGATTGACATTGTAAACACAACACATGTCAATATTGGTTGGCATAGTGAACACGATACTCTTCAAGTATGACAGGCGAATATGAGACAGTGCAAGGCTGACGTTTTACAGGTTAGAAAGAAGTAATTTACATTATTATGTGCAACAGATCTAACAGCACTGCCACTTGCTGGTGGTGCGTGTGCAGAATTGGTGCATCTGGTGCCATGTGCAGTGCTGGTGCATGTCACGAGATCATAGCACTACACTCACCCATAACACTATGTGGTTGCTCTCCCCATCAACCATATAAAGCGGGCACGTCTGCTTCAAGAGCACCACGAGCATGAGCACACCGAAGCTGCAAGATTGGAGGGTGAGAATCGATTTACAACAGCACGGGAGGTTTTTGAGGCGCCTCCAAAATTATAACAGCACGGGAGGTGTTCTTGCATGATTTTGAGACGTCTCAAAACTTGCATGATTTCTTCGATAGAAACGTTTCCCCTTTCGGTAGACTTGCTGCACCTCCTGCGTTCATATAATACCCGTTCAGCAGTTGACACATCATCACATGATGTGCTGCAGCAGTAGAGACATCAACACGTGCTCACCTGTAGATGTCGGTGGCGCTGGTTGCCTTTGACGTGCGGAAGTAGATGGGATCCACATAGCCCGGTGTGCCCATCACTCGAGTGGTGCCCACTGTGGAACCTTCTTCTAACCTCACAAGCCCAAAATCCGCAATCTTGGCCTGATGAATGGTACAGCCACAATGATGAAAGCAAGCCCGATCGAAAGGAAGTGGGCAGATATTCCATGTTGTAGACAGGCAGACCCAAAGTTTAACTTTACTCAACTCGTCTAGTTTAAGTGACGGATTTTGCACCTTATTTTCACTGGAGTTCCTGAGTGAATGTTCTGGACAGAATATGAGAGCACCCTTAGCCGTCTGAGGATAACTAAAATGTACAGTGATCATCCTTCATTCTTTGCTGATATGTTTGGCTTACCATCTGTAAATGTCTCAAATGAGACCTTTCAAATGCTCGATTGTGACCATTTCAAACATCTGAATGACAAGTAACACTAATATTAATGATAACATTCTTACTGTATTTTGTGGCTTGACAGTGAATAATATGGAGTGTGACTCTGGATAGATAAGCCACTGGCCGCATGCAATCATAAGCTTGCCTGCATGTCTGGTGCGAGGATGATGTTGGCGGGTTTGATGTCGCGATGCACAAGGCCAAAGCTGTGGAGGTACTCCAAGCCACGCGCCACACCAATGAGGATGTCCATTCGCTGCTTGAATGTGAGGCAAGAGGGTGCGTCTGTAGAGGTAAAAAGAAAAGAAAAGAAAAAATAGTGAACCTTCAGACAGCTGGAGACTTAGAAGCAGAAGGAAAAGAAGAGGATGGCTCGTGAAAGGGAAACTACCTTTAGTGATCCACGACTCAAGGTCCCCATTTGGAAGAAACTCGTAGATCAAGACCTGCTCTGGCCGTGTCCTCATGTCCCCTCCAACAGCAAAACCAAGAAGCCGCACGATGTTGGGATGATTCTTGTCAACCATTTGTCGCACCTGCGAGAAAACCATATCATCGTGGTGTGGATCGAAAACTTTCACTTGCTTGACTCACTGCGTGCGAAAGCCAGATGCAGGCAATGGATAACATGCAAGGCATGCATGCATGCATGTATTTAGAATAACGGAGAGGTGCCTTGCTGTCATGAGAGCAATACTTGAAACACACCCAAAGCACGGCGCACGGCCCCAAAGCACGGCCCCAAAGCACGCCCCAAAGCACGCCCCAAAGCACGCCACTGCTCACCTCTCGCTGGAAGTCAGCGTCAAGCAGTTTGGCTCGCTTGACGGCCCACAGTGTGGTGCCATCGCGCGGAGACACGCCCTTGTACACGTCACCAAAGGCACCCGACCTCAGCTGGTTGTCACTCGCCCAGTTGCTGGTGGCTGTGAGCACTTCCTCCAGGGAGTACTCCGTGCAGTGAGAGGCCGCCACACTGCCTGCCAGACCTGCTCGTTCAATGGACAAAGGATAAACACGCAGCGCACTTAACCATCTTGACAGATGCACTTCCTCCAGGGAGGGAGTACTCCCTGCAGTGCGAGGCCGCCACACTGCCTGCCAGACCTGCTCGTTCAATGGACAAAGGATAAACACGCAGCGCACTTAACCATCTTGACAAATGCACTTCCTCCAGGGAGGGAGTACTCCCTGCAGTGCGAGGCCGCCACACTGCCTGCCAGACCTGCTCGTTCAATGGACAAAGGATAAACACGCAGCGCACTTAACCATCTTGACAAATGCACTTCCTCCAGGGAGGGAGTACTCCCTGCAGTGCGAGGCCGCCACACTGCCTGCCAGACCTGCTCGTTCAATGGACAAAGGATAAACACGCAGCGCACTTAACCGTCTTGACAAATGCATCTTCCTCCAGGGAGATGAGAGAACTTCCTCCAGGGAGATGAGAGAACTTCCTCCAGGGAGATGAGAGAACTTCCTCCAGGGAGATGAGAGAACTTCCTCCAGGGAGATGAGAGAACTTCCTCCAGGGAGATGAGAGAACTTCCTCCAGGGAGTACTCTGTGCAATGAGAGGTTGCACGGAGAGAAAATGAAAAGGGGTGAAAGAACTCGAGGTACAATTGATACATGAAATAATGAGCTTCAGGCTATGGGCAAGTCTTAATGGGTAAGGAATTACGGGCAATTCTCAATGAGATTGGTGGGTTGGAGATTTTAGTTGATCACATTTGGTCAAGTTTGGGAGGGGGAGGGAGGGGGGGGGGGGGGTAGGGATGAGCAAGGGGCGAACACGAACGTGTTCGCGTTCGCCCCAGCTCGAACACTGCCGTTCGGCGAACCGAACAGTGTTTGGTTCGCCGAACACCTTTTACAAAAAAGGGTGTTCGATGTTCGCCTGTGAGGGCGAACATCTTGCATGCTAAGGCGAACACGAACGTGTTGGGGGCGAACACGTTCGTGTTCGCCCCTGGGCATCCTTTGTTGCGCTCGAAATACGCAACGGCGGGCAGGGGAATTGCGGGAAACTGGGGGAAAATATCTAGGCTGGATCAGCATTTTGCGAGATCTAGTTACCGATCCATAGTTGTTTTTATCCAGCTCGCCACCTGGATTTCCCCCCACGTAAGGCGAAATGCTCTCCCCCTTCTATATCTACGAAATTTGCGATTGCTCGCCAACCCCCCACAACCCCCCAACTCACGAAATATGGGAACGCTATTCCTCTCAATCCCATGCATACGAAATTTGCGAATGCTAACCCCAAACCCTCAACTTACGAGATTCTGCGGTATCCCTGACTAATCTTTTCCCGGAAGCCTAAATCTCGCATACCCAAGTCTAGACAGACTAACCTAGGGTAACTACTTAATTACGCTAAGTCCTAATGAGGTGATAACGGCGTGATGTGTGGGGGGCGTGGTAGTAATGGCTGCTGCTGAATAGCGCGACTAAGTTTGAGCTCAAATTTGAGCTCAAACAGAATGTCCCGCAACGTAAATTGTAGATCGCGGGACAGTCGCGTCGAATTCGTTTTTGCCCCGAAACGAACACGAACGCGTTCGTGTTCGACGCGGCTCGGCAGCAGTAGCGGGGCGAACACCGAACGTGTTCGGGCGAACACCGAACACGTTCGCCCCGAACATTTTTAGCCAAAAAAAACCCTGTTCGGTTCGCCTCGAACACGTTCGAGGCGAACCGAACAGGTGTTCGTTTCCATGCTCATCCCTAGGGGGGGGGGGGGGGGGGGAGGGGGAAGGGGGTGAGGGAGGTGGGGGAGAATGATTGCTACCTTTGAAACTCGGTGGTAAGACATGCCTGCTCTCCTTCACTGCTGTAGCTGCTTCTTCTGATATTTCGTTCCTGCGACCCCTCCACCAAAGGAGCACACCGATCAACAGCAGCAGCAGGGAAGCCGCAGCAGCCACAGCAATGCCAGCAATGGCTGCTGCTGACAGGCCGCCAGACTGGGAGGTGGACGTTGCAAGTGAGGGAGGGGATGCTGGGGAGGCAGCGAGGGGGGATGGGGACGCTGTAGTGCTCCCTGGCGATGTGGAGGGAGTCGCTGGTGGAGGTAAGGGAGGAAATGGACATGGTATGGGAAGGGATGCAGTGAGAAGGAATGAAAGCGGTGTGTTGAGGCGAGCTTTTTGATATCAGGAATAAAAGGGGAAGGGGACGACGCTGTGGTGCTCCCTGGAGATGGGGAGGGGGGCACTGGAGAAGGCAAGAGGCGGGATGGTCTGAAAGAGGTGAAGGGATGAGCGGGGAGGGGATAGTAAGTAGGAAAGAAAGCAGTGCATTGAGGAGCGCAGTTTCATATCAGGCCGGCGCACAAATTATGTGTCGATTGAACATGAGTAGAAGTGGAGACGCAGCAGTGCTGCTGATAATAATGTGACTCCAGTTTACAATGTTTTTGGTGAAAGGACTCACACACGACGATTGGAAGACAAAGCATGGAAGACAAAGCATGGAAGTCAAAGCATGGAAGACAAGGCATGGAAGACAAAGCATGGAAGACAAGGCATGGAAGACAAGGCATGGAAGACAAGGCATGGAAGACAAAGCATGGAAGACAAGGCATGGAAGACAAGGCATGGAAGACAAAGCATGGAAGTCAAAGCATGGAAGACAAGGCATGGAAGACAAGGCATGGAAGACAAGGCATGGAAGACAAAGCATGGAAGACAAGGCATGGAAGACAAGGCATGGAAGACAAGGCATGGAAGACAAAGCATGGAAGACAAGGCATGGAAGACAAGGCATGGAAGACAAAGCATGGAAGTCAAAGCATGGAAGACAAGGCATGGAAGACAAGGCATGGAAGACAAGGCATGGAAGACAAAGCATGGAAGACAAGGCATGGAAGACAAGGCATGGAAGACAAGGCATGGAAGACAAAGCATGGAAGACAAGGCATGGAAGACAAGGCATGGAAGACAAAGCATGGAAGACAAGGCATGGAAGACAAGGCATGGAAGACAAGGCATGGAAGACAAAGCATGGAAGACAAGGCATGGAAGACAAGGCATGGAAGACAAGGCATGGAAGACAAAGCATGGAAGACAAGGCATGGAAGACAAGGCATGGAAGACAAAGCATGGAAGACAAGGCATGGAAGACAAGGCATGGAAGACAAAGCATGGAAGACAAGGCATGGAAGACAAGGCATGGAAGACAAAGCATGGAAGACAAGGCATGGAAGACAAAGCATGGAAGACAAGGCATGGAAGACAAAGCATGGAAGACAAAGCATGGAAGACAAGGCATGGAAGACAAAGCATGGAAGACAAGGCATGGAAGACAAAGCATGGAAGACAAGGCATGGATGAAAGGTCGCTCCGGGCAACTCACATGCTGCTGCCTTGACACAAGTGGTGCAAAAGGAGAGGCACATCAGGCAGAAAGCGCTTTGCGGATCTTGTTTGACAACGCACTGGGTGAAGTCTGGAGGGCATGTCACTGGGGGGCGATCCAAATTCCTGCATGCGTAGAAAGTAGGTATTGCAATACAGAATCACTGAACTGAACTTCGTGAAATCAAGTGTTCAGTTTTAGCTCAATGAAGATTGAATCGAAGTGCTGGTTGACGATGTTGGAGTAGGCTAGAGCTCGCTCTGGTATTTATTCTGGTGTTCTGTTATTGAGAATTTAGTTTTAGTTTTAGTGAAGATTGAATGGAAGGGCTGGTTGATGAGGCTGACATTTCAACTGTATGGAACTTCAAAACAGATGTTATACCTCTCTCTCATTGTATTGCAGACAAAGTTTCCATGTTGCTAAAGAACGTTTCAACTTCACGAGAGTTGACGACAAGCCTCACATTCCTTACCAACTCCCAGTGACAAAGCTGCCGAGATCTACTACAAGTGGCCATGTTGCCACATCTGAAAAGCATACAGCTAATCTCAAGTATCTGTGAAGTATTTGTCGTCAGAGTGTTGCATGGTGTTGTAGCTTGTGTCGCACAGAGTTGAAAACCATAATGTGCATTTACCCACAATATCTTTCACTTCCAGTGTCTGCAACCAGTTCAGCTCTGGTGAATTCATTCAATTGGCTGTTGTAGGAATGTTGTTTTCAGGAATACCAATTGAATGAATTGGTATTCAATTGAATGAATTGGTATTCAATTGAATGAATTGGTATTCAATTGAATGAATTGGTATTCAATTGAATGAAGTGGTATTCCTGAGGGAGCAAGCGCCTCATCCTTGTTCGCTGCAGTTCTGTGGCATGGTGGCAAGCCGAGCCCGAGTTGCGCGAGTAAAAAAGGGAGATCAAATTCGCTTCTTTCCATACGTGAGCTTGTATTTCTACCTTTCCTGGTCCAGCATACTTACATAGCGTATTGAGATCGCCACCCATCCGTTCTTCAATTGCCCCTTGGTAACCTAAAGTCTCTAGAAAGGAGGTAGTGCGATATAGGTTGCTGTTTACGATCTCTAGTGCCTTAACGCTTGTAGCGGATATTAGTTTCTAGGCTACTATTCTTCTGATTTTCCCCAAGGTGCTGTGTTCTTCAATTCAGGTCCGACTATTGAGCTTGGTTGCCTTGCACTCAATATCTCATTGAGTCAGGGGCGCTACTGATTGCTTGCCAAGTGCACACGACCCCAGCTTTGAAAAGGATCCCACTTTCAACATATGATTGATAGTGATTCCATTTGGAGGCCTAAGCATATGTTTCAACAGCAACCACACAGCTCATTACCACACCTGCAAAACGCAAAGCTTACGTACTTTCAACTCGAGGCAAACCCCATTCATGCCAAAATTGAGCAAGCGGGGTTCGGTGGCTACAACGTGACATGGCACTCACAAGACACGAAGGTTGGTGAGATTGCCAAACGAAGCAGGAACATTGCCCATGAAGCTATTTCTGCTAAGGTCCCTAAAAAGAGAACAATGAATAGCACGCATATGACAAGATAAGAGGATAATACATTACATTGTAAATATATGACACTTGATAACCGGCAAGAAAACATGAACCATTCACAAATCTAATGCTGTCATCATAGTCTTGTGTCCCATGTGACCCCCTGCCTGCTGTCTTCGACTGTCTCCACCCCTGCAATGGATCCATTTGTAACCAAACCAAACCATTAGCATTCAGATTGCTTGGGGCAATACTGCTTTTGTAACACGCAGTCAGTGAGTACCTAGGTTGGGTCATTGCCGCAAGATAGAATTTGCCATCACATCAGAAAGCGCAATTTAATTATTAAGAGTAATGATGCAAACTAGGTAATGGCAAAATCTAAGGTGTGGTAATAGAATATTCGGGGGAATACGATAACACGTACAAGGACAAGCAGTTACAACGATTGTGAATCCAAGCAGGGCAGTGAAACGCGAGTTATGTCAGCCCAAGAAACGGTACATCAGAAAATAAGCCCTTCCCAACCAACCAGTGGCGCACTCACAATGCGGTCAAAGTTTTTAGGCTGCCTAACGACTGTGTTATTGCGCCAGCCAGCCCATTCTTCCCGAAGTTTCTGTAATTGATAGATATGAATAGGAGTCCAAACGCAAGGCACAGGTGTTGCAAATTTGGGTCGACGACGGGTCGCCAAAACCCGACAAAAAGGACCGAAATTCGGGTCTCAGGTTGACCCGCCCCGAGCTGGGAGCGCTACAGGCCGACCCAACTGTTGGAATATATGTATCCCATTACATATATCGCCTTCAGCATAGATTGTTGTGTAGAAAACTTTATCCAACCGTTGGTGGTAAACCATATTTACCTACCCCTTGCTTGTACATCTTGGGCTTTCTCTAATGCAATCTCTTCCTTCTAATGCAATCTCTTCCTTCTAATGCAATCTCTTCCTTCTAATGCAATCTCTTCCTTCTAATGCAATCTCTTCCTTCTAATGCAATCTCTTCCTTCTAATGCAATCTCTTCCTTCTAATGCAATCTCTTCCTTCTAATGCAATCTCTTCCTTCTAATGCAATCTCTTCCTTCTAATGCAATCTCTTCCTTCTAATGCAATCTCTTCCTTCTAATGCAATCTCTTCCTTCTAATGCAATCTCTTCCTTCTAATGCAATCTCTTCCTTCTAATGCAATCTCTTCTTTCCCAAACTTTCAAGCTCTCTGAAATCCGTCTCTCAACATTAACCTGGTAACAGAGCTATGTTATAGGGTTTAAAGCCTTTCGTAGTTGCTATCGCTGTGCTCTATCCGCTCTACTTGCCAGCTCAACGTTTCCTACTCCAACGCGGCCTTCCCACGCCTTTCGCTGCTCATCTCACTGCCTTCCCTGCTTGTCACGAGGCCCTCAATTTCCGTCGCACGCTTTTTCCTGCTCATCCCGAGCTCCCTCACCAGCTCCCTCACCAGCTCGCCATGCACTATTCCTCTCTAGTCCCGCGCCTCCTCCTCCTCATCCGTGCAATCTCCCCTGCTGGTCACGCAATCCTCCTCCTCACCCGTGCGCCTCTCTCTGCTGGTCGTGCCCTCCTCTTTCTCACCCGCGCACCTCTCCCTGCTGGTCGAGTTCTCCTCCTCACCCGAGCGCTCTCTCCTAATCAACGCGTGCCTCCTCCTCACTGACCCCTCTTCACCGTCCTCCTCTTCTCTCACTATTCGTTCCTTTCCCGCTTCTCCCCCCAATCACTCCACCTCTTCCGCTGCTTTTCACTCTTCCCCCCCTTCTCTTGGTGGTGGTTACTCCTCCTTCCTCCTCCACCCTTGGGCTTGCTGCCCCCCCCCACTGCAGAATCGGCCTTTCCCTCTCTCCTTCCTTTTCTCTTGGGGGTGGCGTGGCTCCTCCTCCCTGCTCCTCCTCTCTTGGGCTTGCTGCCCCCCCACTGCAAGTGCGGCCTATCCCTCTCTCTCCTCCTCCCACCCACCCCCCCCCCCCCCCTTCCCCCCCCCCTTCCCCTCTTCTCTTAGGGGCTCCTCCTCCCTCCTCCTCCACCCTTGGGCTTGCTGCCCCCCCCGCTGCCGGAGCGGCCTTTCCCTCTCTCCCCCCCATTTCTCTTAGGGGATCCTCCCCCCTCCTCCTCCTCCTCCTCCTCCATTGGGCTTGCTGTACCCCCACTCCAGGGGCAGGCCTCCCCTCGTTGTCGCGTGCTTCCCCCATTGAACTTGCAAGCTCTTCTGAATCGGTGTCTCAACTTCGACACCCACACCCCCGGGTCAGGGGCTTTGCACCTGCGAGTCTGCTACCCGAACTGAAAAGCGAGTCATATGATCATGACTAGCCAGCATAGACAGGCCGATCAGATCAAAGTCGCATCGTCTCGTGCTATTTGGGCTCGGTCCAACCCATCCATGTCTTGGTTTTGCACCTGCGAACCGACCCAGCCTACCTGACCCGAGCGGCGCCTACGATCATGTCCAGCCAGCCCTGAGGAACCAATCGTCTCGTGCCATTTCAGTGGTGGCTCGATGGTCGTAAACAGGGCTCGGGCCAAGCCAACCATGGCGGCGTGGCTTACACGCGACAGAGAGTTTAGCCTGCCAGGGCTATTCCGGCAGCCCTTTCACCTAGGGTTGGGCACGCACCGAACCCAAACGGGTTTGGTCGAACTTGTTCGAACCTTTACTTTTAACCGAACTAAACCGAACAAGTTTGGTCGAACTTTCCTAGAAACAAAAAGAATGTCGAGGTTTGCCTGTATTAGGGGGAACCGGAAAAGCTCGTTCGGCCTAACCTTAAAAGGTTTGGCTGAATTCAAACTAAGTTCGGTTCGAGAGTTCGTTCCATTATAGTGGGGCTTGAGGATTGGCCCCTCGTGGCGCTCATCATGGCCCCATCAGCTGGCTGGCAGCCGTTTGCCATGATTCCATATGGCTTACTTTCTGTCCAGAAAACCGTTTTTGAGCTAAGGAAAACGGAATGCCCTGGATTGGCTGTAAAAGGGTTGTTTCGGGCAAATACTATCGAAGCCCTAAAGCTAGGACGCAACTAATGAGGGGAGGTGTTGTTCTTTGTTGCCTAAACTAAAAGCTAGGGTGGGAGGGAAGGTGTCGTAGTTTGAATAGATCTGGAGTTGACTCCTGCTTGAAGTGGCATGGCAGGCAGCCAATCCTAGGACATTCCTGCTTTTGATAGGAATGTTGTGAGGGTTTTTTGGGGCCCCGTCGAAAGCCGCAAAGTTTGACGGGGCCCTAATCGAACAGTCGAACCATTTGAGCTTAACTGTCCAGGGCCGAACCGAAAGAGTATGGCCGAACCAAAAGAGTATGGCCGAACCGAACCATTTGGTCAACCTTTCTCAGAATCTAGCCAGACCTTTTTACAGGCTATAGAGAGCTTCAGGCTTACGTTCAACAAAGACATACCATTTGAGCGAGTCTGAATATATGCATTCACTAATATATCTACGTGAAGCATGTGCCATCCAATGATTAACATTGGTTGTGGCATACAAGAATCGCCACTCACTCACACGGAACGAAGATTTGTAAGTTCACTAATGGAGTCAGGGATTGTGCCTAGCAAGCCGTTGTAGCCAAGATCTCTGATGAGGGGAGACAGGGTGGATGGAGGGTATGAATGAGGCAAGAGTGTTATACCTCACTCACTGAGGAACGTATCGACATTGAGTCGACTCAAAAGAGTGTTATACCTCACTCACTGAGGAACGTATCGACATTGAGTCGACTCAAAAGAGTGTTATACCTCACTCACTGAGGAACGTAAAATAATGAATAATGATGATGTGGACCGAAAATCTCTTTTGTAAGTGCTCCAAATGTTTCATTCCTCCTACTATGCCTACTACGCATGCATGATCATTTAGACTGCCCAAGGGGCCAGGGCTGACCCATCAGCTCTTAAGAGAAGGCAAAGCTGACTGCACAGGCAGGCCCATGATGGACAGTCTCTTTACAAAGTACAGTACACACCTACCATAACGCACAAGAGCAGAGCATATGACTTTTGAGAGCAACCCAGCAACAAAAACTCCAAAGCACGACCGTGACAGCACTGGGATCAAAGCCTGGGTGGCCGATTGTGATTGTTATGTTCACCAGTGAGAAAACAACATATTTGTACAAACGAAATTTAACATCTTTGCTTCGATTGATGTCGATAGCGATCGCAATACATGCATCCCCTATTTAGTGCCATTTTGTTGTGAGCGCATTCTATTGTGAGCGATGTACGCCGTTCCATCCAATCGCAGAAAAAGCTTTTCTACCAACATCGGTTCTGTGTGCATGTGTCTCGCTTGGACAGACATAAGAGAAGCACAGTCCCTCACGCATTTGTATGTAGAGAAGAAAATATGACATGCAATGTCAGAATACTCACAAGTACGTAAGGCTGCTCATGCGACCAATAGCGGATGGAATGTTTCCAGTTATGCCACTCATGTAGAGATCCCTGGTGGGATGCCAGAAGGACGTTAAGGAAGGAGCAGAACAGCAGGATGAAGTCAAGATGGGAAACTAGTCGAGAGTATGATTAGTAGTAGCATGTGCAACGACCAAGCCCGCAGCTCGATCCTTTAAGCAGGCTCGTCCAACATGCTATTTCGACCATCGATCCATGGAAGGAAATCAGCAATGCCAGCCGCTGATCGTGTCAATGTCTTTGCTCAGATTTTGGTTTGGGTCAGGCAAAGCCACGCACTGTCTCTTAGGCATGAGAAAGAGGCGAACACGAACATGCTCGTGCTCGCTCTTGGTCGAACACTTCACCTGGGCGAACCGAACATGTTCGGTTCGCCGTGAGTACCTTATGGAAAAAGGGTGTTCGCCTGTTCGCGTTTGGGGGCGAACACGGAGGGTGTTCACCCCAAGCACAAACATGTTCAACCCGAACATGTTCGTGCTCGAATTTTCAAGCCTTAAACTAGCCTGGGATGGGAGAAATGGGGTACTAGTTATGGTATGGGCAGCGGTTTCTGCAAGGGGAACTAGTTATTTTTTGCCCACATAGCTCCTCTCTCGCTCTTCTCCATGGGCTCTGCGCTTGGCAGTCGAGTCGAGTTATGTCAAGGTGCAGCTGTGGTGCGGTGTGGCTCGTCGAGGACCAGTGCGGCCCAGGTGCAGGCGACGAGTGCCCCATTTGGGTAAGTAATATCAAGATTTGTTCGCCTTAAGAACAAACTTTACCCTTAGAGTTCCTATACCTCTTTCCCCACTTTCAAACAGCTCCCCATTCTGTCTCTCACACACACCTCCCCATCTCTATATGCTGGTCAATCCGGCCCTAATCTGGCCAGTCTTCATCCGCACCCCGGGGCCGGCCAGGCCCGCCGCCACTTGCAGACGTGCCAAGGCACGCGCTGGTGGGAGGATAGGGCCGGTCCAAAACCAGCACTTGACCGTGCCTACCTGCTTTCTAACATGCTCAAAACAAACAAGGAGCAACATCAATGCCCACCTTGTTAATACTGAAGTCAGCATAATCATTCCTTTTACAGTGAGTGTATGTAAGGCGTATGAAGTAGGCATGAGCAATCAACAACCGAACTCAACCCAGTTGGACTCGAACCGAGTCAAACAAAAATATGGCCAGTCCGAACTGGCTCAGATGAGTCGAGCCGACATCAAGGACTAGAGGCTCGAAGTTCGACATACATGGTCAAACACTGGTTTGAGTCAGACTGTTTGCGGATCAACTTAAACCGATTTGGTTCGGCTCCGCGACAGCATTCATACTACTCGCATATTTTTCAAGGTGTTTCTCGTTTTTAACATGAAACTGTGCTAGGTTCATGTAGACATGAGCAAATGGCGAACTCGAATGTGTTTGCCACGAACCCCAATGAACACTTACCATGGGCGAACCGAACCTGTTCGGTTTGCCACAAACGTTTCTTTCAAAACAGGTGTTCGTGTGTTCGTGGTTACAGGCGAACACTTCAGGGTTTGCCAAGAACCCGTAAGTGTTTGCCTCGAACTCTAACTAGTTCGAACTCAAACATTTCCAACCAACTCTAACTAGTTCGAACGCACTGAAAGTACAATTCCAACCACGCCCCCCCCCCCCCTCCCCACCCACCCAACCCCCACCCCCTCCAACTCCTTACAGATCTCTCAACATTGAGCCCCTGCACATAGTCGACTTTTAGGGTTTTCCCCAGTGTTGATATCGGGTCGGGTCAAAGCTCGACCTGGTTACCCTGTTTTTTACCCGATTCTGGGTAGGCATGAGCATTTGGCCCGGCCCGACCCGACTTGGCCGGGCCAAGCGGGTTTCCATCCAGACCGGGTCGGGTCGGGCCAGCCTCGGGCCAGGGTGTCGCATATTCTGACCCGACCCGGGGGTACAGGGTCGGGTCAGGGTTGACCCGATCTCGGATCGGGCCAGGGAAACCCGCTTCCGCCTGCCGCCTGTGCAGATCGGCGATTTCGACCAGGCCGGGCCAGGCTCGAGAAAATCCTGACCCGACCCGGCCATATTAGCGTCAAACGTGAACGAGTTCGCGTTCGCCCTATTTCCCGCGAAACGACGAACCTCGCGAAACACATTCGAGAACGGAGGTTCGCGATTTTGTTCAAGCCTAGGTTCATGGGCGTTAGAGAAAGTGGGTACTTCCATGTCAACCAGAGAAATCATATAAGGAACTGTGGTTTTTTCGCCTGTAACCTTGAGAGATCCTAGGCGAACTGAGAAACGAGTCGAACCAGTTCGGGTTGGAACGAACTGAGGATCAGTACTACTATGCCCAGATCCAACAACTATCCTCAAACAAAGTGCACCTCATGGCAGAACCAGAAGAGTTCCGATGCACGAAAAGTCTATTCAATTCTGAATCTGAGCAGTGAGGGTCCGGCTGTGTGGCTCACATGTCGACGTAATAAATCGTTCAGCTCACAAGAGTCGAAGATTCGTGAGCTGGCTAACAGAGTCAGGGATAGGGCTCCACAGTCTGTTTTCCCGAAGGCTCCTGCCAAGAGCACATTGGATTGGAGGGGACGCATGTGGCAAAAGAGCTGGATGGATGATTGAGCAACAGGTCGACCCGACGCATATGGACATGCAACTAGACATGAGCAACAGGTCGACCCGACCCAAAGCGTACCGGTTTTCATCGGGTCTGGTCGGACTGAGAGTTTCCCCAGCCCGACCAGGCTTAAAAGGGGTCGGTTCGGCACATACCGAGGTTCGGGTCGGGTCGGGTCGACTTGCTAGCAATTCCCGGCCCGACAGAGACTAGGGTTGGGTCAGGCTGGGGCGACCTGGTAGGGTCAATCAAGCCCACCAGGGGTGTTTAAAATAATATTTGAGAAGGTGTGTGCCCTAGAAGTGGTAAGGTAGAGTGTGCTCACAAGCTTGTCAAGCCGGTCAAGTTGCCGATGGATGAAGGGAACGATCCCCGTAATATGTGTCCGCCTAAAGAACTACAAGGGGAAAAGTTGGAAATAGATCCCTAGGAAAAGGATTTGAAATGGAATGGGAATGGATTGTTAAAGGGACTGAAAAAAACTGAACCAGAACCTATGTGACCCTTTTGAGTCGACTCAAAAACAGAACAACTGAACCTAGGTGACCCTTTTGACCCGACTCAAAAACAGAACTGAACCTATGTGACCCTTTTGAGCCGACTCAAAAACAGAACAACTGAACCTATGTGACTCTTTTGACCCGACTCAAAAACAGAACTGAAACTATGTGACCCTTTGACCTGACTCAAAAACAGAACAACTGAACCTATGTGACCCTTTTGAGCCGACTCAAAAACAGAACAACTGAACCTAGTATGTGACCCTTTTGAGCCGATTCAAAAACAGAACTGAGCCTATGTGACCATTTCGACTCGACTTAAAAACAGAACAACTGAGCCTATGTGATCCACACAATCCACACAATCCAGCACCGTTGTGACTCTCTGAACCGGCCGAGATTGGTTACATGGGAAAAAGCGCAGGCAGGCAGGCAACCCTTATGGTGATGCATAATACAGAAGGCAAGAACGACTCTGAGGCAGCTGGAGGCACATACCGTCAGAAGAAAGGCAGCTTTGAACCCAGAGGCTCCACTCACATGGCTGTTATCATGCCCCTGCCATCGCACGTGACGTTCCTTGCCTTGCTGCAGTCCCCACCAACCATCCAGCCGTCAATCGTTGTGCTCCACGCCTTCAGACAGTGCAGCAGCACTTGCGCTGGCGGCAGGAGGAGGGAAGGAATCGGACGAGGCGTAAAAAGAGTGCAGGCAGTAAAATCACAAGCTCCCACTCTCTCACCACATATGCTCCTGACAACCTTCTTGGTTGCACCAACCCATTCCTTGTCAGGTTCCCTCCCCGCCGCTTCCTCTCCACGCGTGTCCTTTCTCTCCCCATTTCTCTGCCCCCTTAACCTCCCCACCGATCATCTTGTCACCGCTCGCTTCACCAGGCAGTACAAAAGGGAGATGGAGGAATCAAATGTAGTTGTGGGTGACGTCCGTTTTCACTTGTCTCCTCTCCCACTGCTCCCAACTCTCCTCTCCCATGTTTACTACTAGCGACAAGAGAGGAACCGTTTACCCTGAGACTTGTTGAGAGGAACGCAGTCAACTTGTGAAACAGCGCCGAGACACGTCAGCAGCAGCACTGCGCCGAGGAATCCGCGCTCCATCGCGGCACGATCGTGTCCAACGGGAAACGCGTCGTTTTAAGATTGTCGCAACGAGGAAAGATAAGACCGCATAATTAACTGAAGTCGAAATAGGGTTGCTGAATGCACGATATTACACAGTACCTAAATTCAGTAAAAGTTCATGTTGACACTGTTGTAAACCCAGTGGTTCGTGCTTCGCTTCTTGTCCGTGAGGACAGGAGTTCGATACTTCCTCTAAAATTCAACTCGTTTGTAGATGAATGTTCCAACTGTTTATCTTTTTCCAGACTCTCTTCATTGTGTTTGTTATAATGCACCCAGCAAGTATCAATCCGCCGACCTTCCGCTCAAATGTGTTGTCGAAGACTCTTTCTGGACAAATTTTAGACAAGTCACATTTTGGATACATTACGGTCAGTTACCCTAGCCTTGAAATATGCAAAAGACTCTTTCTGGACTTTGAAATGCACCCCCGGGATACCTTAGCTACCTAGCTACATTTCCAAGCCACACTTTTTTGGTGATGTTGTTAGAATCATGAACTAGGTGCTAGTAACTAGGTGAAAGAAGTGATGTCGATTAGGTAAGGAGGGGGGGTACAAGAGTGTCGAGGAAATCTTGTTGTACCCTCTAGGGATAACCCTTACACAACTTAGAAACATATAAACATATAAATGTTTTGACACACCCCCATAGGTGAAGGAGGGGATAGCCAAACCTAACAGTGGTTACAAGATCAGTCAAGCAAGAGAACAAGCAAGGCAAAGCCCAGGGTGGATCTCAAGGACACCACACAACCTGAGCACAAGAAAGCGGCCACAAGGCCAGTTCACATGCAGAGTTATAATAGCAAGGTACTACACAGATTACAACCTAGCAAGTGTAAGCATGCACGTATACCAATATATATCAGTGTACAACAAGAGCAAGATCAAGAGACAAGCAAGTGAGGCAGAGTGGGCACAAGCCCAAGAGCAGTGCAGAAACGCTGATGATCACCAGACCCAAGGGCCTTGGTGAAGACATCAGCAGTGTTGGCCGGCGAGGCCACGTAGGAAAGGCGGAGCAGACGACGCTGCTGCAGCTCTCGCGCAAGAAAGTAGTGAAGAGCAACGTGCCTCGTTCTGTGCTCCAGTCTCTGCTCCTGACACAAGGCAAGCATTGCCCTGTTGTCGACGTACAGAACTGGAGGAGAACGAGGCCGCTCCCCCAAGTCGGTCAGCAGGTAGGTCAGTCAGCGTAGCTCCTATGCAGCCATGGCCCCAACGTAGATCTCGGCCTCACAGCTGGAACCAAGCACAGAAGAAGAACGAGTGGACCTCCACGAGACATATCCAAAGCCAAGACTGAAGGTGTAACCCTGTGACGAACGATGAGTCGCCTGGTCGTCCGCCCAAGAAGCGTCGGAGTGTCCTGTGAGTACCACTGAACCCCGTCCTCCAAGCACGAGCCCCATGCCCGATGTACTGCACAAGTAACGCACTACCCTCTTCGCAGCATCCCAGTGCACCTTTTGGTGTCGACCGGGAGCCACGTAGCGAGCCAGAAGGCTGAGAGGGTACACGAGGCCAGGACGCGTGCAAGTCATAAGGTACATGAGGCAACCCACAAGCTCTGGGTACGGACCACTCGGCTCTACGGACTTGTCCGAAGGTGGAGCTGAGAGCGAGTGGCCGGTAGACAGAGGAGTGGGCTGTGACGAGGAGAACTGGAAGCCGAAGCGCTGAAAGACCATGTGCACCATGTGTGACTGAGTCAGGGTGATGGTGCGCCGTGCTCTGTCCCGGGTGACCTGCAAGCCAAGACAGCTACGCAGCTCACCCAGGTCAGTGCAGGTGTGTCTCTCCTCCAGCTCCGCCTTCACTAGGGCCAGCGCCTCCGTGTCAGCAGTAGCAAAAACCAAGTCGTCGACGTACACGAGAACGTAGAACGGCGGCAGGGTAGTGTCAGTGCGTAGAAACAGCGACGGGTCAGCAGTCGAAGGAGCAAACCCAAGAGCCGCAATTGTCGTCCTCAGTGTGTCGTGCCACTCGCGAGGTGCCTGACGCAGGCCGTAAACTGGTCGCTGTAGGCTCCACTGGGTACCCTCAGGAAACGACCCAGGGAAACCAGGTGGACCGCGCAGCCAGTTGGCCTCGTGAAGGCTACCCTGCAAGAAAGATGTGGAGAAGTCAAGGGAGTGCAGTTCGTAGTCAGGCTGATCTGCAACGTGTAGTAACACCCGAAGAGTGGTCATCTTTGGGGTAGAGGAGAAGATCTCAAAGAAGTCGACCCCTTGTCACTGACTGAAGCCTCGAGCAACGTAACGCGCCTTGAAGGCAGGCGGAGAACGCGGCGGCCGCTTCACCCTGAAAATCCACATGCCACTGACGATGTTCGCCCCAGGTGGGGGATGTCAGAATCCCAGTCACTAGACCATTGGGATAAAAGGGCTTGTTAAGTAGCGGGTCAGTGCGCCCATAACCCCCCAGGACAACGAGCCTGTAACCCTTCCCTAGGATCAATCGGGGATCACCAGTGGACCTCTGACACCCCCCCGCACTGGGATGCCCGAACTGCATACACTGGGATTCGAACCCGAGACCTTCGCTCTGATACCATGTCAGAATCCCAGTCACTAGACCACTGGGGTAAAAGGGCTTGTTAAGTAGCGGGTCAGTGCGCCCATAACCCCCCATGACAACGAGCCTGTAACCCTTCCCTAGGATCAATCGGGGATCACCAGTGGACCTCTGACAGGGGAACATCGTCGACGTAGGTGCCTGTGGACTTCCAGGAAGCCATCTCTGCGTCCATGGCTGTCTGCCACTGAGAGGAGTACTCACCCGAGATCGTCTCTCTGTAAGAGCGCGGGGTGGGGATGTCAAGTGCATCCGGGTCTCCCTCGGGGGCAAGCAGCATGGTCGCGAGATGAGGTGCAGCGGCCGCAAGACACTCCAGCTCCTCCTGCCTGTCCTCATGAACGTCACAGCCAAGGGCAACCTCACCCTCGACGGACGGAGGACAGGCAGGGTCAGGGTCAGAAACGAGACCCACACGGTAGTCTAGGCGGTACGCAGCAGCAAAGTCAACTAGCTCAGCGACGAAGGCAGACGCAGCAGGAGACGAGAGCGTAGAGTCCGTCACGACCATAGCAAGAAAGCGAGTAACAGTCGGACTGGACGCACGAGCAAGGTCAGACGGAGGGTCAGCACCAGCGAGAAGAGAAGACTCAGGAGGTGAAGGCAGGACAACACACAGTGGAACAGAGGAAGGACGGAGTGTCATATCATGAGTGCCTGGGACAGCCGGAGCACAAGAACGACGAACACGAGGAACACAAGTATGGACAGAAGCTCTAGTCTCGGGCTCTCGACGCTCAGGAGTGGAAGCACGAGTCTCAGGCTCTCGATGCTCAGTCAGGGACTCTGTCACAGCAGTGTAAGGAGCAGGAGCAGGCAGTGGGGAGTGAGGCAGGAGCTGTGGGAACATTAACGGAGGAGTAGTACCAGCGACTGGGAACTCAGTAGGAGCTGGTGGAAGGGCGAGAAGCTGGCTAAGCGCACCAGCAGGTCCAGTACCTTCAGTACCAGTAGGACCTCCAACACTAGCAGCTCCAGTACCTCCAGCAGTGGTAGCTCCAACACCTCCAGTACTAGCAGCACCTCCAGCACCTCCAGCACCAGCAGCTCCAGTACCTCCAGCACCAGTAGTACCTCCAGCACCTCCAGCACCTCTATGACCAGTAGGACTAGTAGCTCCAGTACCTCCAGCACTAGTAACACCTCTAGTACCTCCAGCACCAGCAGTACCTCCAGCACCTCCAGCACCTCCAGCACCAGCAGCTCCAGCACCTACAGCACCAGTAGCTCCAGTACCTCCAGCACCAGCAGCACCTCTAGTACCTCCAGCAGTACCTCCAGCACCTCCAGGACTAGTAGCTCCAGCACCAGCAGGACTGGACCCTCCATCGCCGCCAGGACTCGCAGCACCCCCAGAGTCAGCACCCCCAGTCTCAGCACCCCCAGAACCAGCACCCCCAGTCGCAGCACCCCCAGAACCCTCACCCTCTGCCTCAGCACCCCCAGTCTTAGCACCAGCAGTCTCAGCTCCAGAGTCCACAGCAGCAGGTTGCGGAGGCGGCGACGACGGTCGAGGCGGAAAACCAGGGGGGGTCTCCAAGCATGGAGAGCGGCGAGTGGCCGCCGTGTCGTCGGCAGCGAGGTCACCCCCCTCAGCTGGGCCAGAGGAGTCAGAAGAGATCTCCAAAGGCTCAACCAAGGGGGGTGGGTCTACCTGAGACACACCTGAGGGAGCAGGACCCTGTAGCGGGAGGGGGTCGACCGGGGGGGGACTGGTTCCAGGAAGAGAGGTGCGAGGGGGACAGGGTGGGACGCGTGCGGGTGAAGCCTGTAGAAACAGACAGACTCGTCAAAGGTGACATCGTGGGAGGAGAAGACTCGACACAAGCTCGGTTGGTAGAACTGCCATGGTGGGGCGTCGGTGGGGAAGCCAAGGAAGACGCAATGAAGAGTGCGAGGGGAGAGCTTGCTCGCAGTGGTATCGCGAACAAGGGAGAGCGCGCCCCAGACCCGAAACACCGACGCATCGCCAACCTGTCCCGTCCAACGGAGTGTGGGTGAGGTCTCTGGAAAAGAGACACGGGGCCAGAGGTTGAGCTGATGCGCAGCGTATCGGACTGCAAACGGCCAGAGAAAATGGGGAGCAGCCGCATGGAACATGGAGGTACGAGCAACCTCCATGATCAAGCCAATGCGACGCTCAGCAATCCCATTTTGCTGAGGAGCGGCCGGAAGTGTGAACGACTGGCGGATGCCCTCGTCTTGACAGAACTCCGCAAGGAGGTCAGAAGAGAACTCACCGCCCCTGTCAGAGTGCAGACGCAGGACTGGCAAGTCCCGACTAAGCCGATCGCGCAGCTGGCGACGAGTAGCACGGATCAAGGGGATCAAAACACCGCTGACGTCCGCCTTGCGACGCAAGGGGAAGACAGTGGTGTAGCGTGTGTAGTCGTGAACAACCAGCAGGAAGTAGCGCTTCTGGTCCGTTCCACCGACGGGGTCCGGGCCCCAAACGTCCATGTGGAGAGTCTGCAGAGGAGCAGTGGTCGGAGGAAACTCGGGGGAGTGAGGAGCGGCGCGCTGCCGCCCCTCGACGCAGGGAAGGCAGGGCGGTGCAGGCGAGTGCGGGAGGGAGGGTAGGGACATGGGAAGCCCAGAGACAAGGAGACGGGAGTGCATGCTGCGAAGACACTCCAGGGAGGGGTGACCAAGGTGGTGGTGCCAGAGGAGAGTCTGGTGGGAGAGTACCCGACACGAGCAGGACGCTGCAAGCTGACCAGACGCAGACACCTGACTCGACGCAGTCACCTGACCTGACTCAGCCACCTATGCAGACGCAGTGGTCAATGTGTACAGACTAGACCCAGGCCGTCGAGTGAACGTAGCTAGGTGACGGCCAGTCCGGGAGCACGTACAGATCGCCACACGCTGCCCTCCTGGAGTAAAGGTGTCAACCCATATATCCTGAAGAGTAGCGTTGCTCACCAAGTTCGTGGAGAACGTGGGGAGGTGGAGACCTGACAGAGAATCGGAGGGGACTGCCGGACACGGAAGGACAATGGAGGCTTGTGCGACTACTGGGCCCCCAGTGGGGTCGGCCAGTGAGAAAGGTACCGATGCAGCTAGTGGTGTGAGTGTGGTGCAGTCATGAAAGAAACAACGAGACGCGCCTGAGTCAAGTGTGAAAGTGTGAAGGGCCTCAGCGGAGGCAGCAGACTCACTAGCACCTGCGACCGAAGACTCACTAGCACCTAGTGCTGCAGTAGACTCAATAGCACCTAGAGCAGTAGCAGCGACACCAGCATCACCATGAACACACGAGTAACACGCACCCTCATCACTAAGCTCAGTCACATATATAGCATAGATAGCCTTGTTGATCTGAACAAAGTCAAGAGCATACACATCGACTCCCATCCCGTGCAGTTTCAGCCAGTTGGGGACAATCGCCTCATTCCCATACTCATCCACCCAAGCATCCTCAAGATGGCCAAAGCAGCGATACTCGGTGTGCAGCTTCCCGCAGGGCTGCCCCTTCAGCTTCCCAGTGCGCCTGACGTACGGGCAGCGACCAGAGCCCCCAGGGAAAACACGCTGGACAACCCAATCACGAAGTTGCTGAGGGGTGGGGTTGTCTGGGAGGCGCTGTAGCTACTGTACATGGCCACCAACGCCACGAGCTGATCCGCCACGGCCTCCACCCTTGCCAGCTCCACCCCGCCCACCTCCACCACCCCCGCCGCCTCCACCACCCCCGCCGCCTCCAGCACCCCCGCTGCCTCCACCACCCCGTCCGCCTCCACTGCCGCCACCCCCAGAGCCACCCCCACCCCCCTTGCCCCCTTTGCTCCTGCTGTTGTTGCGCCTTCCACCGGGAGCAGACGTAGCAGTAACCTCCTCAGCACCAAGGAGGTCGACATCAGCAGCAGTAGCAACTGAGGGGAGGAGAGGGGAGGGAGTACACCCTTCAAAGAAGGGGGAGCGGGGAGTGCCACGAGAGGCAGCGACAGCGACAGTGCTCTTCTCGGCCTTGAGAAGGGACTTCTCGAGCGAGTCAAGTGTGATCTCTGTGGGGTCAAGGGCTAGGAACTGGTCCCAGACAGTGCGAAGGGAGTCGGGGAGGCGACTGACAAGGAAGTACAGTGTCATATATAGCGGGGGGGGGGGGTTCGCAGCGAGGAAGGCCGGCTTGAGAGCGGCGCGGTAGCGAGCCTCACTAGAGCGGAGGTGGGTAAAGAGGTCAGAGACAGTGTGGAAATCAGCTAGCTCGGGATGGAGGTACGGCAGCATGAGACGGCCTAGTGCAGCAGTAGCTGGGGAGGAGTAGCGAGCTACTACAGCGTCATAGAGGGCCTTGGCTGTTTTCTGCTGGCTAAAGTGCGCACGCTCAGCTACAGGCAGATGGTTGCGGACAGTAAGGCGGGCAGTGGCGTCACGCATGAGCCACTTCGAATGATCCTCTACCGCTGTAGCAGCTGGAGGTGGGAGGGTTCCTTCGGTATGCACGAACAGTGAAATTCCGTCCCTAGCCTCGTTCTGCAGGTACAGCTGGAGATCATCGAGCCAAACATCAAAGCTAATCGCACGACCCTCAGCGTCAAACGTAAGAACTGAGAAGTTAGCCATAGGTGCAGTAGTCGTAGCCGCAGTAGCAGCAAGAGGAGTTGCAGCAGCAGTGGCAGTCGAGAGGAGCAGCAGCAAGTAGCAGCAGCAGCAAGTAGCAGCAGTAGCAAGGAGCAGCAGCAGCAAGGAGCGATAGCGGCAGCAGCAAGGGCTGTAGCTGCAGTAACAGGGGCTGGAGCGGCAGCAGCAGGGGCTGTAGCGGCAGCAGCAATGGCTGTAGCGGCAGCAGCAAGAGCTGTAGCTGCACCAGCAGGGCTGTAGCTGCGGTAACAGGGGCTGGGGCGGCAGCAGCAAGGGCTGTAGCGGCAGCAGCAAGGGCTGTAGCTGCAGTAACAGGGGCTGGAGCGGCAGCAGCAAGAGCTGTAGCGGCAGCAGCAAGGGCTGTAGTGGCAGCAGCAAGGGCTGTAGCTGCACCAGCAGGGCTGTAGCTGCAGTAACAGGGGCTGGAGCGGCAGCAGCAGGGGCTGTAGCGGCAGCAGCGAGGGCTGTAGTGGCAGCAGCGAGGGCTGTAGCGGCACCAGCGCAGACAGGGCAGCAGCACCGGCGGCAGTGGGTGGGCAGTGGTGCAGCAGTGGCGCAGCAGTGGGCAGCGCTGGCAGTTCGTGCAGGTAGGGCAGTGCACGCGGTGCAGAGTGCAAGGCAGGCTGCAGTGCAGGCTGCACGGAGGGCGGCCAGGCTCCAGAGTAGCGCGCAGGCGGCCCAGGCAGGGCGCATGCAAGCGGCGCAGGGCGGGCGAATGCAATGCGGGCCGAGGTGCGCGGGCAGCGTGCGGGCGCTCGCAAACGGCGCAGGGCAGCGTGCAGGGCAATGCGAGCTGCGCGCGGGGCAGGGCTGGGGTTGCGCGCGGGGCAACGTGCGCAGCGTTCTGGGCAGCAGGCGTGCGGGCGCACAAGGCAGCGCGACAGCGCGCGGGTATGGGCAGGGCAATCGCGATATCGCTAGGCAGGGCGGCGCTAGCGGGCAGCAGGTCGCGACTGAGTGGGCAGGGCAGAACGAACGGGTAGGGTAAGACTAAAAGTGGGCCCTTAAGAAAAAATCGGTCCTACGGCAGGACCTACTCGTGATACCATGTTAGAATCAAGAACTAGGTGCTAGTAACTAGGTAGGAAGAAGTGATGTCGATTAGGTAAGGAGGGGGGGTACAAGAGTGTCGAGGAAATCTAGTTGTACCCTCTAGGGATAACCCCTACACAACCTAGAAACATATAAACATATAAATGTTTTGACAGATGTAACTTAGGAAGTTCCTGTAGGGGAGGGTTTCATAAATCACACCCTGTTCTTCGTTTCTCACCAACAACTAGGGTTTCGCCAACGATTTGTGTACATGACTTTATGTCACATAGAATCAAATCTCATGATATTTACAAAGTAGCTAAATGACGAACAAATATACATATATGCGGGTTTAGGGGTGAGTAGCCGAATGCTTGTGAATGAACACATACACAGGTCAAAACAGTAGCTGAAAATTAACTCCAACAACACAGGCGCGCAACATACACGCGTCTTAGTGCCCTCGTTGTAGGGATGGTACAAAGAGGCGCTATAAGCAATTACGTAGTTCTTTCTCTATACATCCCTTGGCGCGGATGTCCTGAGATCCTTGCGTCAGTTGAGCCCGGCAAGTTAGGACTCTTAGGCCTTCAAGTCGTGTGCACGTCATCAAGTACACGAGGCAGCCCCCAAGCTCTGGATACGAGCCACTCAGCTCTACGGACTCGTCCGAAGGTGGAGCTAAGAGCGAGTGACCTGTAGGCAGAGGACTGCGCTGTGGCGAGGAGAACTGAAAGCCAAAGCGCTGAAGGACCGGGCGCACCATGTGTGGCTCAGTCAAAGTGATGGTGCGCCGTGCTCTGTCCCGGGCGATCTGCAAGCCAAGATAGCTACGCAGCTCACCCAGGTCATTGCAAGTTTGTCTCTTCTGCAGCTCCGCCTTCACAAGGGTCAGCGCCTCAGTGTCGGTAGTAGCAAAGACCAAGTCGTCGACGTATAGAAGGATGTAGAACGGCGGCAGAGTAGGGTCGGTGCGCAGAAACAGCGATGAGACAGCAGTCGAAGGAGCAAACCCAATAGCCGCAAGTGTCGTCCTCAGTGTGTCATGCCACTCACAGGGCGCCTGGCGGAGACCGTAGACTGGCCGCCGGAGGCTCCACTGGGTACCCTCACGAAACGACCCGGTGAATCCAGGTGGGCGGCGCAACCAGATCTCCTCGTGAAGGCTGCCCTGCAAAAAAGCTGTGGAGAAGTCGAGGGAGTGCAGCTCGTATTCACGCTATGCTGCAACGTGCAGTAACACCCGAAGAGTAGTCGACCCCTTGTCGCTGACTGAAGCCTTGAGCAATGTAACGTGCCTTGAAGGCAGGCGGAGAACGCGGCGGCTGCTTCACTATGAAAATCCACATGCCATCGACTATGTTCGCCCCAGGAGGGGGAACCTTGTCGACGTAGGTGCCTGTGGACTTCCAGGAAGCCTTCTTGGTGTCCATGGCTGTCTACCACTGAGAGGAGTACTCACCCATGATCGCCTCTGCGTAAGAGCGCGGGGTAGGGATGTC